GTTGGGGTAAGCTTGTAGGTGGAGGACGATCTTGGCAGATAAACTCGGATACGTACTCGGGGAGTTCGGGAGTCCGGGATAGCTCTGGAGCCCCCTTATTTTTATTTGTATTTTTTTCAAATCAGCCACAATGTAAATACAACACTAAGCTTAATGCTTGATCAAAAGTCCACTTATACGTACAATTATGTGGTCACTGAGTCATCCCCCTATGCTATTAAATACAGGACCTCGAGCATAAAGCGGCGGTATTCCCTAACGGGAAACTCGCGACTGCGGAAAATCTGATATACACTGCTACCTAAGTGTATATTTCGACAGCAAGGATTTGCCCTTTCCCTTAACCAAGGTTGATATACAAAAAATTAGGTCTTCACTTCCCGGGCTTCCTCCGCCTCTGGGTGTTTCTCCGTCTCTGGGTATTCCTTCTCATCCACAGCTGGTGTTTGCGTATCACTGGTCATAGTGATAGCCAGGACGGTTGGGATCGCGATAACCAACGAGCCCATGCAAAGTCCCCAGTTCATAGCGAATTGGGTCATTGCGGGCTTTTCCATGGCATTGATGCGCCACGCCATCGCACCACCAGTGCTCTGGAAGGTCTTGTACGCTCCGACCAGAACGGCTGCTGTGGCGGGGGAGTTGGACTGAGCACCCACGAGCCAGTAGCAGAATGATTGCCACAACGCATCATAGCAACCATAGAAGATGTAGAGGAACATCGGGCCCACTGAGATATCAGAATCGGTGTAATCGATATCCTGCTTTAGGCCGTGCTCCAAACGTTCATCAGACCACACCTGGAACTTATAACCACCACCCCAGATGACCATTCCAGTGACAAACAAGAATGCCCAAGCGATGCGAGCGCGGTTGGGTCGACTGACGCCGGGGATGTCGAGAATGAGACCCATGATGAGACCACCCAGCATCTGCGCAATCCAGTAAAGCGCACCGTTCAGGGAACGCGTCCGGATGTTGAAGTTCATACCGTTAACAGCATTCTGCTGGTAGGAGTAGAACACGTTGGCCGAGAAGAAGAGGGGCAGCATGCACAACACCCGCCAGTTGCAAATGACCTTCACAGAGTGGCGGACAATCTGGCGGAAGTTCTTTTCGCTCTCCGGTGTGACCTGCAACTGGGCAACTCTAACATACGAGGGCGGGCAAATGAGCGCTCCAAGCAGCCATCCGATGGCCATGATGACAAGCAAGGCAATGTATGTTGCATCGCTGACAGTGCCGGTCTTCGACTTGAAGTTGAGGCCGAAACTAGCGAGAGATCCAACGCCACCGCCGAGATTGAAGATGATCCAGAAGGCAGCGATTGCGCGACCCTTCTGTGACTCGGGCACATAGGTCGTCATGATAGCGCCCTGTGCCACCCACAAGAAAGACGCGCCCACACCGAGAATGGCACCGGAGGCAATGACGAATCCACCGTTAGCGGTTGCTGTTCGAGTTCTGTTAGCTGTGTGTATAACACAATGTGGGTTGACAGCTTGACCATACCGTTGAAACACAGAAGACTGCCAGAATACAAGGCGTATGTCCATCCTCCAAGCAAGAGACAAACTCTGGGTCCAACACGATCGAAGATAGGGCCGACAAGGAAAAGTGCAGTTCCTGCAGTACATGCCAGAAGAGCTACACTGGCATTTGCAGCGATGGTCTGATCAACTTGACCGGAACCTCCAAGACCACTGAGGGCATTGTACATCTAATGCCATTGTTAGCCCACATGTATTTGACAATAACCATGTAAAACTTACTCCCGGACAGCAGAAGCAGATGAAACTCATCAAGATGATCTGGAACCAAGAATGGGTCCAGATCTTGTATAATGTTGAGCGGTTTTCATTTTGCTCAAAGCCGGCGAATTGCCCTTCTTCGACTTGATTCGACATGTTGTACGTATGGTACCAAAAGTCCGGGGGGGGGAATAACCGGGGTCTTATGTTAGAGACTCCAACAATCCTTTCCCCTTCCTGTATCGGACTACTGCACCTGTGTGGGCCATCTTATCGAGTCTGGGGCCCCACGCGATAAGGGGCTAAGGTTGCATGGGAGAAGCGAAACAGGGATTAGCGATATCACCGGAGATATCTGTTGGGTATTTCGCCTGATGTAGTAGTGAAGGTGGAGAAAAGCCATGCGATTTAGATTGCATTGTATAGTGCAACTCCTTCATCACACGACCTTACTTTTTCTCGGCCGACCAATACCGGAGAATAATCCACTATCCTCCACATCAACCTCCTTGTTGGGAAAAGTCTGGAGAAGCAGTGAGATACCCACTCCGGTCGCTTACGAGCCGGACCAATCCTATGGCGTTAAGATCCTTCGTTGCTACTCTACTTTGTAACGCTCCCCATTTGAGGTGTTTCTAGAAAGCCAAGGGCTGCCTTAACCTTACGTACGAGAATTCCGTCAGTATCCCGCATCGGCATCGTCCTCGGGAAATGGGGCGATAATAGGCACTCGGCTTGTATAGCGCCAAATAGAAATGGGTCCAGCCTCGCGCCCCCAATCATCTAAAAAGCCCCCTTATCACCCTTGTCCGCATAAGTCTGATCGTGATTCGTGCGAAATTAATCAAGTTTTGACAAGAAACGGCGTCAGGCTTGTTGTCTTCTAAGTTATCACCCCAAAACACCCTGCATAATGGATCTTGGGAGTCTATCTCAACTCCAAACGGAGGGGGTTAATCCCCGAACCGTGAATATTGATCGCATGTCGACACTTGAAATGTGTACTGTGATCAATTCCGATGATCAAAAAGTCCCTGAGAGTGTTGTTCCTTGTCTGCCCGTTATTGCGGGAGCAATTGACGCATTGACCCCGCGAGTTCGACAAGGCGGCCGGGTCATTTATGTCGGTGCTGGCACCAGTGGAAGGTGAGTCACGTGAATTATGTTCCCCTATTTTGAAAACAAATATTAAAAACAAATTTTAGACTTGGAATCTTGGATGCATCAGAAATTCCTCCCACATTCAATGCCCCTCGTGGGCAGTTCGTTGGTCTGATTGCTGGTGGAGATGCCGCAATTCGATCGGCCCAGGAGGGAGCCGAGGATAATGAAAAAGCAGGCGCAGATGAGATGAAATCTCTGAACCTGAACCCAGAGCTTGATAGTATCATTGGAATTGCAAGCTCCGGGCGCACGCCATATGTGATGGGATGTCTTGCTTTCGCTAAGCGTCTCGGATGTGTGACCATCGCAGTTGTCTGTACAGTACCTTCGGCGATTGGGCTTTCAGGCGATGCGGACTTCCTTATTTCACCTGTGTCTGGGCCCGAAGTGGTCACTGGTAGCACCCGTCTCAAGGCCGGTACTGCCACCAAGTTGGTGTTGAATATGCTAAGTACTGGTACCATGATTCGCACAGGAAAGACTTACGGAAATATGGTATGTTGTAATATCCCCCAACTGTTGTGCTCCAGCTAATGCTCTTCCAAGATGGTTGATCTCGTGGCGTCAAATTTGAAACTCGAGCAAAGATCCCGCAATATTCTGCGGAGGTTGAGTCCAAAGTGCCAGTCCGCGCCTGACGCTGAACTGGATGCTGTCCTTGCACAATGCAATGGCAGTGTCAAGCTGGCTATCTTGGTTTCAGAGACCGGGGAGTCAGTTGAGACTTGTCGGGGATACTTTGACGCTGCAGCTGGAGTTTTGGCCAACGCGCTGGCTGCCATCTCTGAGCCCATCGAACCCAAGCCCACAAGTACCCCCACTAAAAAGTTTGCCTTGTGTATTGATGGCGGTGGTACAAAGTGCGCTGCTGTTGTGGCGGATGAAGCTAATGTCGTGGGCCAGGGTTCTGCAGGCCCCTGCAATCTGTATGATATCTTCTCTGGTTTTATCCTGTGGTACTGTGAAGCTAACTTTCTCCAGAACCGACAGCATTGGAGATATAGACGGAGTTATCTCCACACTACTTGATGCCGCAAAGGCTGCTCTTAAAGACGCCATGTCAAGCGACATAGAACGCACAGAGGCTCCGTGGAAGGAACTCCTTCAAACATCCTTTAGCTCTGTGTGGGTTGGACTGGCTGGTATTGACCGAGCTGGCCTGGAGGGAGTGCTAGCACCTAAGCTGAGACAAGCTTTCGGCATCACTCAAGAAAAGGACCTCCAGTTAACCAATGACGTAGACCTATTGACCGCTGGTGTTCCACAATCACTCGGTACACCGTCCGTCCTGGTGGTAATTGCAGGAACAGGGAGTGTTGCAATGAGATACAAATGGGCCGATGATCAACAAAGATACGCTCGTGCTGCCCGGTCCGGAGGCTGGGGTCATATGCTCGGCGATCAGGGCGGTGGCTACACAATCGGCATGAAAGCCATTCAACACACACTCGGAGTCTTCGAGGATATCACCTTGGGGCTTGATAAGACTGGAGGGGATGAACTTTCTAAGGCTGTCGCAGAGAAACTGGGGTGCCAGGTATCTGAGACAGCCAGTATCGACATGTTGAACAATATTCTGGCCCAGAACCATTCTCAGGGTGTGAAGTCACGCATTGCCAGTATTGCGCCGGTTGTGCTCGACTTGGTGAACAAAAATGAGACCGCAGCGGCTATCGTGAGCTCTCAGGTAGCTTTGCTCGTGGGCGAGACTCTTGGTCGCTTGGTGAAGCCTCAAGCTGCTGGGTACCAGCCATCCGAGGCCTCTGTGTTGGTGTTGGCAGGAGGACTGATGAAAAATGAAAGATACAAGGCCACATTTGAGAAGCAACTGGAGTCACACAGATTGTATTTCAAAGGAACAGTTGTTGTTGACGATGCCGCCCGTTCAGGTGCCACCTACTTGAGTCGTTAAGCCTTGCTGGGCCATTTTCTTCTATAAAAAAACATCAATAATTAGACTTCTTTTACTCTTTACACTTCTCCTTGTATGTATCTGCTCTCTTTTCTCTACTCAAACGCTCTATCTTATCGTCCACTGAAATGCAAATACCCAACCTGCTTAAACTTCAAATTTCACTATCTGTTCTATTTCAACATCGGAACTGCTTCAATCACCGATTCCATCGCCGGGCTCTGGTTCCAGATGCCCGTGATCTCCAAACCAGCACTATGCAAGAGATCTCTCCACTGTTGTTCTGACCGTTCGACACCAGCTCCAATACTCATCATCTGAATATCCAGTGAAGCCTGCATTAGGGGAGCATCGGTATCTGGGAGGACGAAATCCACAATGAGAATCCGAGAGTAGTCCGGCGCCATCGCTGATACCGTATTCTGAAGGATCTTCTGACTGATTTCGTCATCCCAGTCATGGAAGATGGAACGGAAGTAGTATACACGGGCGCCTTTGACGGGTTGAGAATCCATGAAATTATATCCCATCACCTCGATTCCTGCGCTCTCACCATCGACGCCCTCAACAACACTGGGTAAATCCTGCAGCACCATTCTGCCTGGCAGATGACCATATTCTCGGCGGAATTTGCCCAAATCATGTCCTTGGTTACCGCCAATGTCTACCAAGAAGACAGTATCTTTGTATGGCACGGAATGGCCGAACAGTCGCTCGACAGGGTATATATCGTACCACATCGGCTTACCCTCACGACGGCTGGCCATGTACGAGTTAAAAAGCTCCTGCTGTTCCGGATGACTCGAAAGCCACTCAAACTGACTCTGTCCAACCGCCCATTGCATAGGCGACTGAGTATAATCCTGGGGATTGGCATAATTATGGGCCTGCAGGTACTCTGGCAGTTTGCTCAATGTTGGAAAAGTAAGATCATAACTAAACGAATGGTCAGTGAGTGATGACAGGAAGATATGCAAGGGTCCAAGCCACATCACCAACATACATGCATGGGATTCCGTCCCTCCCAATCGGCTGAGTCAGTGCCACGGTCTTCTCATTGGCAACATAAAGCTCGGGGGTCGGTGTGACGCACAGCCCAAGAGAAGCCATAACGCGCATTAGTCGTACTAATTTACGGAATTAGTGTGATTCACAATGTGTGACGAACTATTGTCTCCACAGGAAAAGGTACCAATTAGATCTTCTTCGGCGCCCGTGTAGTTGGCTAGCTGAGCGGCTGAGAGCCCCGTTCCTCTGTGGCGCTTCTCCACAAGCATGGGGAAAATACCCAAATCGATAACAACTCGCAACGCAGCATTTTGAGGAGGCTAGAGCCCGGTCAGAATATGAACTCGATTATGGTTTGTGGAACCCCATACCTGGTAGATCAGACGAAGCACGGTTTCTGTCGGCGTTTCCACTGCAGACCTCAGCTGGTCGATCATTCGCAATAACTCGAAGTGGGCTTGCGGAGATGGATCTGAAGCTTCCTTCAAGGCCATTTGGCCGAGTCGATTAACCAAACAGTGAAAGGGTGTAGTAATCGTCATTCTGGCTGCTCAACAGAAATAAGCACCGATGTTCAATGTAAATTTGTGAGGCTTCGAGTTTCACAAGCTAGGATGAGTGAACTATTTGGATGGATCTCGATTGCATCTTATAGTCCTTGTTCCCCCCCAGAGTGACATCGGACAAGGCAAATAAATTAAGAACCCTTGTTTTCATCGGTGTTCAATCCATTCCTTCAACAGACGGATGCAATATAGGTAAGCTTACCCCGAAAACAGCTGAAACCCGGGGCATATCGTTTCTAGATGCTCCACTATTCAGTCATTCTCGGCCCGTCGTCTTAATATGCCGCATTTGAGAGAAGCTGACCTGATCGGGATAGTCTAGGAGGTACATGCTTTCCCTACGGTGTGTGATTCAAATCCGGGCTATTTGTGAGCGTGCGTTCTGTTCTGTATTGACAACCCACATCGGAATTTTCTTTTTTTTTTTTAGAAAAACAGAAAAAGAAAAACAAATCATTGAATTACAAGATCTGCACGGAAACAGAAATCTCCTGGTGATGTGAGATTGTGATTTATAGCATTGCTATAAAGAGTGTGAAGGAGAGCATTAACAGATGTTAGTTCCATATCAACCCTAAAAACATTTTAACGATGCATTCACTTTCAACCACCCCCCAGCCCGAACTCGACTTGCGATGGAAGCCAGCTATTGCAACAGTCAGTCTAGGAGCTGCTAATCTACACCCTATCGTCGCCAAACTTGATGCTGCGGCCATCAATGGCCAACAAGGCCTTGAACTATTTCATGATGATCTGGCAGAGCTCGCCAAGACCCTTCGTGCTCAAAGGTCCGACAGTGCACCCCGCACTGACCGAGACTATGAGATTGACGCAGCACACGCTATCCGAGATCTATGCGCCGAGCGTGATCTGCATGTTGTAGCTCTCCAGCCTTTCCGACACTACGAAGGCCTGATTGATCGAGAACGGCATGCGGAACGCATCAATGAACTCAAACATTGGGTGCAGTTATGCAAGATTCTTGGCGACTCGCTCTTCATCCTGATCCCATCATCTTTCCTCGACGCCTCCGAGATCACCTCCGACCGAGAGTGTCTTGCGGCAGACCTAGCCGAGGCCGCAGATGTCGCATTCCCCGTGCGCATCGCATATGAGGCCCTGGCATGGGGAACGCACATCAACACCTGGGAAGACTCTTGGGATTTGATCAAACGGGCCAATCGGCCCAATCTCGGCATCTGCCTTGATACATTCAACATAGCAGCGCGAGTCTGGGCTGATCCCACCTCCGCAACAGGGCGACAACCCCTAAGCGCAGATGAAGATCTGCGGGAATCGATGCATCGGCTTGTACGGGAGATCGATCCGGACCGAGTGATGATGGTCCAGCTTGCCGACGGCGAGCGGGTCGACCCACTCACTCCCTTTCTTCGGGTACCAGGTCTACCTACTCTGCTAGCCTGGTCGCGGAATGCTCGTCTGTTTCCGTATGAAGAGGATAGGGGCGGATACCTTCCGATTGGTGAGGTGACGGATGCCTGCATTAACGGTCTCGGTTATACTGGGTGGGTCAGTATGGAAGTCTTCTCAAGATCTACCGGGGAAGACAATCCGGCCGTTCCGATGGAGCATGCTGCCCGGGCTCGTCGCTCCTGGCTGCGGGTCCTGGAATTGTTGGAAAAGAAGTCGGAGAAGGAATCCATCTAGGTTTTGGGCTTGAGATCAGCGTATTTTGTTTCAGTCAGTGTTATGTATTGATTTTTAGGTTCATGAATGAAAGCTTAGGTGCATTCAACCCAGAGGAATGACAATGATGAAATTGTCTTGTAATCTCGTTGTACACCCCTGTCTAGAATTGTAGACTGGTTCTTAATCTCGACAAAATTACAGTCATGCTTGATGCCTACACACATACCCTAGGTTGATACAATCCAAATGTCTTAGATCTCAGGAATGTGGAATTTGGAAGGAATTACTGTTCCAGAAATATCTATAAGGAATGCTATACCGAACCAAACCATCGGGTACGGAGTACTTCTAACGGAACACCACAGCGTCATTCCCGATACCTGGAATGCTATGCCAACTATATTCTGAGACCCCAAGAAAGAAATATAAAAACCAAGTTAGAAATGATCGACATCAACCCGATCGAACGGATCGTACGGATCAGCATTCTTCAAATGGGTCCCCGGATGATTCCCGAGAACGCTTATCCCCATATAGATCAGAAACTTGGTACTTTAGGGCATTCCCGGCATTCCGGATCCTTCTCCCGGGCCGCTCCCGATCCTGTCTGGACTCTCCATACCAACTTTGGTTTCCTGAACACCTTTTGGTATGGATGATTTGAATTATCAGTTGACCTATCTTCCAAGGTTTTCTGCGTCACCCTTCGGTGTCATTCCCTCTGGCATCCAGGGATGTGACTTCTACGATTTGAGTGAGACATCGCTTGGCCCTTTACTCCTTGTCTAGAATGATCTTAGTCCAATTTAACACCGGATGAGGAGTAAGACTGGTATCCTACAATGACATCAATAGGTAGTTTAACAATATACTTAAAGGCCAATGAAACACCAAACACTTCATCGGGACATATCTAGACACAGCGTTTTGTGTAGCCTTTACATATGACACCCAAGAGGTTCCAGACTGAAGGCTGATGTTCACTGCCGTCCTCAGTTACACTGACTTGTACAAGTAGGTTTCAGAGTTCTTAAACATGATCTAGAACTATCAATATGCAGGTAATGTTACAGCTAGCCATTCCCTGACTATATCAAAAAAGAACCTCCTTTTCTCTCCGACTGAAGCTAACAATTATTTCGGGCTTTCCCAACGGTATTTTCATCACAACTGAGGCGGATGTGTCTCGGGCAGCTCTGCAGTGGAACAGATGCCGCTGGTTGCGATTGAAATTCCACTCCGAAGATGGAGAATAATGCAGAATGTATGCACTTAGTTTTAACGCTAGACAGGGGAGTTATTCCCCAAACTTGGAATTCGGCCAGCGGTGTAGCTAGTTTGTAGTTTAAGCCACACCAGACAGAGTAGACCAATCTTGCCGTCAAAGTAACGCCATTGTTGAATCCCGACGCATGAGATCTGTGATTTTAATAGTGTTTGCAGGTCACACAAATAACTCAGCCAATCCTTGTTGAAATTGTGCTGGTTGTACATGGAGATGTGCCTATGGCTGCCGAGAGCAATATTATTTCCTCAAATCCCAACTATTCAATACGCGCCTTGATGACTTGTGTTGGCATATGCATAACTATCACAACATGGTACATTGCTGATCCTGTCCGTTTGCTATTTGGCTGAATCCGTGCGATATGTATATCCTCCCGATGCAGAAAGACCTTTTTTTTTTTTTTTGCCGGGCATCCCGAAAGCAATCAATCAGTATAGGCTAATATGGTAATATGGATCGGCTTAGCGGTCTAAACAGATAACCGTCCTTTATATACGGCTTGACCCTCAATATCCTTCTAGAACACCAAGCTGCTGTGGCACCGTTCCTCTCCTATAATCCTTCTGTACTCAAAATGGGTATCCAACGTGGAACTCAGGCAGCACTCGCTGGTTCCTCTAGCAGTATCAACCCGTTGGTGCATAAGTTTGGATCTCTTCAAGTTCTCGACGACTTGATCCGGTTACGTGCTGCTGATGTCGTTCAACATCCCATTCTCGCCTATCCTCGTTTCGACAACGATGCAGGCTCCTATGGCTACTACACTGGGAAACATTTGGATGCTATGATAAACCAAGCTATCATCATGCTCATGGATGATGGCTTCAAGCAGGTTGGTCATGAGTCGCGCTGTATGATCTCAACCCTCTAACAAATAAATGTTTAGCCAACCCGAAGTCCATCAATCGTGGCACTTCTCACTTTGTCCGACCTTAACATGGTGATCACCCTTTTCGCTTTAAGTCGACTGGGCTATACTGTAATGATGCTCTCCCCCAGACTCTCGGGCGAAGCTTGTGTCTCCTTGCTGGAAACGGTCAACTGCGAGTCAATCATATATGGTCAATCCCCCAATATCCGTGCAACACTGGGCGAGATCCTCCACCGGAGGCCAGTGAGCTGCCGCCCAATGCTCCCGTGCTCTTTATACAATAAACTACAGCCGACGTCACTTGCTCTACATCACAATCGAAACCCTGAAAAAGTCGCCTTGATTCTCCATTCCTCGGGATCAACAGGCACCCCCAAACCGCTCTTCCTCACACACAAAGCAATCATGACCCACCCTATGAGAGGTCCTGGGTTTACCTCCTTCAATACCCTGCCATGGTATCACCTCCATGGGCTGTCCACCGCGTTGCAGGCAATGTGGATGAGAAAAACAGCTTATATGTGGAACGCTGCGCTGCCTTTAACCGCAGAACTCGTTGCTAGCGCCCTTAAAGAAGCTAGACCAGAATCCGTAGCAGCGGTACCATACATGCTCCAAGTTTTGATTGATGATCCCCGCGGCATCACAGCGCTGAGGCAATGCAAGTTGGTTACATACGGAGGGGCACCCTGTCCCGATGAGCTGGGCGATCGACTAGTAAGCGAAGGAGTACATTTTGGAGGTTCATTTGGCCTGTAAGTAGGATCCTGCGGATACCTACAGAGTTACACAACTAACGAATTGTAGCACCGAGGCTGGCCTTGTTGCAGAATCAATCTCCCGACCAAAAGGTGACCCATATTGGAACTATTTGAAATTCTTTGACAATATCCGTTCATATGTCTGGATGAAGCCTATCTCTGACTCAGGCTCGCTTTTCGAGTGCGTTTATCTTGCTGGTCATCCAGCATTAACAACCTCAAATTCAAACGAACCGCCAGGATCCTTCCATTCAAAAGACGTCTTCACTCCTCATCCTACAATTGCCGGAAGGTGGAAATACATCTCACGATTAGACGATCGAATCAACCTAGTGAATGGTGAAAAGGTCCTACCACTCCCGATTGAGGGTCGCATCAAACAACACCCTTTTGTCCACGACGCAGTTGTTGTCGGGGTTGGCAAAGCTGCTCCAGGTCTATTAATTTTGCGAGCAGACGATCAGGAAGCCAACTATCTCTCGGATGCAAAATACCTCAATACAATCTGGCCAACAATCCAAGAAGCCAACTCCCAGGCAGAGGCTTTCTCTCAGATCTCCCGGAATCTGGTCGCTATCTTGCCATACGATGCCAAGTTCGCTCGAACAGACAAAGGGTCCATGATCAGGGCACAGGTCTATCGAGAACACAGCGAACTTATCGAAAGCCTTTATGCCGAGAAGGAACATATATATGGGAATCTGCTACTTGACGTAGTGGAGACGGAGCGCATTCTTCTTCAACTAGCCCAGCATGAGCTTGGAATACCCATCTCTAGTGTCGATGCCAATTTCTTCTCCGAGGGCATGGATAGTCTTAAGGCAATCCACTTCCGACGTCTCGTTCTTCAGCATTTCAAGTTCCAGATGGGTCAAGCTCCTAGTCCAAATGTCATATTTGAATCGGGCTGCATATCACAGTTAGCTCGGCATATCTGTGCATTACAAAAGGGGGAGCTATTCGAAGATGTACAAAGCGATTTATCTGTGATGACTGAATTGGTCGATAAATACTCAGTGTTTGAGAGACACATACCCCAGCCACATTCTTTCTCAGGGCCGAATAGTGTGGTGAGTAACTATCCTACTGTCATAGTTCAGGATCAGGAGCTAACATAGCCAAGTTTTTAACAGGAGCCACTGGATCAATTGGTGCCCATGTCTTGTATGAGCTTCTCAACGACGACTCCATCTCCACAGTGTACTGTCTCACACGACGCGAATCGCCACTGGAAGCAATACTTTGCACTCTAACCGACAAAGATCTTTTCATATCCCCCGAACAAATAACAAAGATCGTCGCCTTCAATGGCCGTATTGACCAGCCCGATTTCGGTCTATCTCTAGATGAAAATACAATCAAACACATGCTCGACACAGTCTCGCTCATTATTCACACAGCATGGCCCGTGAACTTCAATCTCCCACTGGTTGAGTTCGAACCACACATCCAGGGCCTACACAATCTAATACAGTTCTCTCTGTGCGTACAGAGGCGCGAGCCTGCAGTCATGATGTTCTGCTCATCCATCTCCACCGCGCTCCGATCTCCATCAGCCGAGATCCTCGAACAACCAGTCGACCTGGATTGCGCCTTTATGGGCTACGGTCAGTCTAAATTGATTGGGGAGCAAATTGTGAGTAAGGCACGTCGCAGTGGAGCACGGGCTTATTCTCTTCGAATCGGCCAAGTCTCGGGTCACTCAAAGAAGGGTCTTTGGAATGACTCTGAAGCTCTGCCATTAATGATCCGGTCGGCGCTGACACTGGGTGCACTACCTGAGCTGTCACAGACATGTTCTTGGCTTCCGGTAGACAATCTCGCGTCGACTATTCTTGAATTGGCCAGGACTTGTGCTACTTCGAATATAGTTGGGGAAAGTCAGGCGTCCAATTCGAGTATGGTTGAGTACATTGATGACTCGATTTTCAATTTGTGCAATTCTCGCGAATTCACCTGGTCATCTTTGCTACACGTGCTGAAGAATTGTGGCTTCCGATTTGATGCTGTGCCTTTTGAAGAGTGGTTGCTAAGACTTCGTCGGAGTGAGATGCGGGGTGAAGAACTTGTCAATCCCGCGGTCAAGCTCATTCATCATTATGAGATGATGCATGGGAAATCATTGCAGAATGGGCCAAAAAGGTTCATTACAGAGAAAGCAGAGAGGAGTAGTGTGGCTTTGCAAAATGGCCGATTGAGAATTATTGATGATGGCATCTTGAGATGCTATGCTAAAGATTGGTTGGCGAGGTGGACAGCATAGGGAATTATTTGAATTTGGGCGAATAAGTGTGGAGTTTAGGGATAAACGGTGTTTGAATATATGGGAAATATTGCTAGTATTTCTAGGAGAAAAAGAATCCTTCATTAACTTTACACTTCCTTTTACCTGTAGTGTGTAAGAAAAAGTAAGACGCCATGGGAGGCAAAAGACAGACTGGAATCCAAACAAAATCAAGTCTCGGCAATAGTTAGGACCTGCTATACAATGAAGAAAGAAAGATTGACCGCCGAATTCGCACCAGTTTCAACAAAATCTATCACAGATATTTTAAGACAAAAGGGCAACAATGAGTCCGAGGAAGAGGGCGGAGATGCTCATAGACAAGCGATCAGCGGCCCCAGTGAAGATAGGGCCGAATCCAGATTGAGATCCGCTAGGGACATAGAAGCCAGATGTCGCAGATGCGGTCTCCTTCGGGGCTTTGGAAGCCTCGTATGGAACGGAGGAAACAATGGCAGAGGGGAGCGCAGAAGGCTGCGCCCACGAAGCACCGAAGGTCTCACCGGGGGCGGAAGTGTAGCTAGCGTGGCCCTGACCAACCGGGACAGATGCGTGGTTGGAGAGAGGGTCCACACCAGCGGCTGTGGTCATTACCTCCGTCTCTTGGCCGTGGGCTGGGGTTTGGACAGATTTCACAGTTGGAGTGGGTGCAGTTGCAACCACAGAGTGAGCGGCGGTAGCGGAGGACTCCTCGTCCTCGGGACAGAGGGTCTCAGTTGCAGTGACTACAGAGGTAACAGTCCGAGTCTTCTGGCTGGTGGCAGGGTGCTCGACTTCTTCAGTGGCATGGTTTTTGGTAGTAGCTGCGACGGAAGAATCAAACGCAGGAGGCAATTCCTGAATTGATCCGGCTTTTTGATCCTCAGTGGAAGCAGATGAGTGCACAGCAGTAGCAGTTTGAGTATGGTGTGTCTCAGCAGTTGTGTGTGACACCACAGGAGCAGCGGCGGTCGTATCCGGTCGGGACTCGGATGACGCAGGTGATGCAATTCCCTTAACACCAGTCTGGTAGATCTTGACCGAGTTGATTTCCCAGTAACTCTCTGCAAATTGGGTCGGGTTGTTGGCGACGTAGTTGTGACAGCTCTGCATGGAATCGCCGTCGGTCATGGGGCAACCAGAACCACCATACACATTACCCGCCCAGTCTCCACAGAAAGTGACATCAAATACAAATGACTGGGCCTTGAAAGCATTGGCAACGTCGCACGATTCCTGCACCACGGCCATTGGAGTACCAAATTGCGTTACATCGGGCTTGCCGCTGGTGATCGAGGGCGGGATCGAGTTTCGGGGGAAGTACCAAATTTTGAGGAATTCATTGGTCCACTGCAGTGTATACACACCTCCCTTCTTCTTGTTGAAAGATGTACCATAACTGCCCTCGTGGCCCTCGATCACACAACCAACCGTGCCTTGGTCCAGACCACACTCTGTAGCGTTGACCGAGCCGGTCATATCCGTGTCTGTCAAGGTGCAAGTGCCGGCTGTATGCATGACAATTTCGTTGTGATTATGCATGTTGACACCTTCGATGATATCAATCTCGCCATCTCCAGGCCAATTCCTTCCGACAGACCAGAAGGCGGGCCAGGTACCGCAGACGCTACCAGGCATGTGGGCGATGTCGGCGACGACGAGAGACTGGTCGTAGTATTTCTTGCTGCCAATGCGAACTGAATCACGGCCCCTTTTGCCCTTGGGGTCTAGCTTGGTAGCATGATCGACACCAAGATACACACTCCCAGAATCGGTGACCTTGACGAGGCCTGTATTTTCGGCGGTCTCCTTGTCGAGATAGTTAACAAAGCCATGGGTCGGATCAGAGCCAACGTGGAAATTGAAATAATCCAGGAAATTCTTCCCCTGCCAAGTCTCCACCAGGGAGTAACTTGTGGCGGCCACGGGGGAAGCTAATAAAGCGAGCATCAGCGATCCAGCGCTCAATGAACGTGTTGAAGAAACCATCTTGTCTGGAGAAGACGTATAACAAGACCAAATGCTTGTGAGATAATCCAGAAAGCAAGGAAAAGAGAAATAGAAAAAGTACAATCGATAAAAAGAAAAGTAACTAAAAGAAAGACTGACAATCCAGATTGTCAACAAGGAGAAAGGAATGTGAGCGTGTCGAACATGTCTGAGCAACAATGGGAGGTATTTGACCAAAATATCTTTCGCCAGGCGCACAAGCCATATATTATTTTATCCTAAATTATGCCGGATAATGCCTTGGAAACTGGAGATCAGTTTGTCCATCCAGTAACAACTCATCAGTACCTGGAACTTCGACTACAGTAGTGAGTGGAGGCCTATGATAGGCTGCATCGGCGGAGTCGAGGGGCCTCCGTGGCGTTCTAGTCCAGGAGTCGAAGTCCACTTATGATGATCCATTCTTCACATTCTTCACAGCAATAGGTCAAGTAACACAAAAAGATCGACTAGTCGCTGTCATAGCGGTTAGAGGGGGGTGGTGTGTCAACCTGAAACCTCTAACCCACCGGAGGGATAACCCAAAACAAACGGTGAAACAGGAGAAACTTTCCATTTGAAAGAAAGAAAGATATAAAGATAGGGAAAATCCAAGTATACAGGTTAATGAAATCTTCAAGATCTCTTCTCTCGACTTTGTTAAATCATTCACATTCCAAGTGAAAAGGTGAAAATGTTTACGCGGACATGTGATGCACGGAGTTACCGCTCTCTCCCCACTTCGCCTCCAAGGCGGCTTGATCTACATCTCCTCTTGGCCATTTTAGCGCTGAAGTCTAGACTTGTTCAAATATTTTCTTTGTATTCCACATTAAAGGAATGTATTACCAAAACACAGATCATAGGGGTCTCGGGAAATTATATATTCTATATTTATATACTCTAAGAGTACGATGAGCCAATGTTAGCAATAATAAGGGCTAGGGTATTTCTTGTATCGCAACTCCATACAAAAGGTACATGAACACAATAACCTCAATTTTCTTAGCCTCCGAATAGTTAGGAGGCAATGGAAGATATAGAGCGTAAATCAGTCACAATTCGTTAGAACCAATCTTTAAAGGTCCTTTTACCAAGTTACCTTAAAGCAAGAAAAGGGTTAAATCTTTACGTACAATGTTTCTGCACAGTGTTTCAAAGTACTCTTTAGACTTTGACATGGTATATTTATAATCCATCCTAGCAATAGTAATTAGGCCAGGCTTTAGTACCATATATTTTTTCTTATTTCCTTTAGCTAGTTTGAGAGTTGAGAAAAAGCCGATGCTATGGCTATGTTGTGTTTATGTACCTTCTGTATGAAGCTGATATATAGAGGATACCTTACCCTTACAATTTGTAATCCAGTACCTCAGCCCTGGAGTTGCCCACCAGTACTGGATAGGGGTTGTGAGCATGCCATGCTGAACGTGTCCTTGCAAAATCAAACCATATGCATCGTAGTTAGTATTCATCGCAGCAAAACAAACAAACTTCACACTGGCCATTGCTATACTCATCTCCAGTGCTGATAATATTTCATGGCTTGAGTTTCTATTCGGAATATATACCTCATGACAATGCAATAGAAAGTGCTGTTATATAGAAACGACTCATCCCTATGCAGGTCACATTCATAAAAAACAGAAGCAACTTGGGACATCTTCTTTAGCCGACTGTATACTCCTGAGTTCAATGCTAAGTGCATGCCCATATATTGGCGGCGTATTAGGGTAGGTGGTAATGCCGTGTGCTGTCGCACTTTGTCAGACACGCGATATATAATCTGTGGTTTGGGGGGTAAGTCCAGTAGGATTATAGGTCAGCTGTCCCTCAATATATACACCCTACGCAACCTGTTTCCCTTACTGTGAACTATTTTCATATTTCGTTCCTTGTTCTATTATAGGAAACACGGTGAAGGAAAATCTCTCCATTAAGGTTATATAGTAAGAGACGAACTACAAATAGGATCTCGTACTCGTAATATTTTCCATTTCGGGAGAACTATAGCACGTCTGATTGGACGATAAACCATGAGTGGAACAGAGAGACCATACTACAGAAACTGAACTGCAGCAAGCTTGACCCTCTTTCGTTCCCATCGAATAATTCGTATTTATATACTCAAAAGGACTAGTTTTTCATTTTTCAGCCCTCTCAACAAAAAGTGTTCCCTAGTTGTGGGGCTGCACTATCTTCTAGCTCAAGGCAGAGAAATATCAGCACAGTGTGCATTGATTAGACAAGATGAAAAGATATTTAAATAACAAGGTTCCTCTCATAAGATGGGCTGGATCTCCTTAGTGCATCTATTCAACAGACGAGCTTTCACTCTTTTCCGTCTTCAAACATCATCGTACCACTTTTCAAGACCAGTCGTCTTATTCCATAACCATTTTGCACGTTACGAACTTGAATTATGGCGGGAGAATTCAAGCTATACCATTACAATCCGTCTGCCGGTTCTGCTGTCGCTTTTGCAGCGATCTTTGGGCTCACTACCGCCATACACATGTGGCAATTAGGTCGGAACCGAACCTGGTACTTCATACCATTTGTCATTGGTGGCTTATGTGTGTACTCCATCTTTTCCTTTATCCATTTTTTGAAACTATGCTCATCATTATGAACTATTTCCAGTTGAGACATTCGGCTACTTGGCGAGGTATGCGAGCGCAGAGGAAGCCCCGGACTTCACTACAAAGCCGTACATTGCACAAAGCCTGATGCTCCTGCTAGCACCTGCATTCTTTGCGGCTTCTATATATATGGTTTTGGGCCGCATCATTCGTATGCTGAATGGAGACTCGTGTTCCCTAGTCAGGCCATCATGGTTGACCAAGATATTTGTGACGGGTGATGTGTTATCATTTTTCATCCAGAGTGGTGGTATGTTACATGGACCCTGTATCGCTTGGAAGGCCACTAATTCTGTTTCTTTCTTAAAGGAGGTGGTCTGCTTGCCTCGGCGAAAGACAACTCGAAAGTAAAACTTGGAAACAACATGATTGTGGTTGGACTTTTTGTTCAAATCCTCTTCTTTGGCTTCTTCATGATTGTTTGCTTGGTTTTCCACCGCCGCATGCTTGCTACACCATTGCATGCTGCGGGCGACACTCGAATTCCCTGGACCCGTTATATGAAGGTTCTTTATATCGGTAGTGTCTTGGTCTTGGTCCGATCAATCTACAGAGTGGCAGAATATGTCCAGGGCAGTGACGGATTTCTGCAAAGCAAAGAGGTATTCATATATGTATTTGATGCAGCGTTGATGTTCATTTGCTGTCTACTTTTCAACTTCTTCCACCCGAGCAAGATTCTCTCAGGCTATCACAAAACCCAGGACGGCCCGGATGTGGAATTGTTGAATCATGGTGGTTATACAGGATACACAGGACAAACCAGGTACAACCCCCATTAAACGTACCCTTTTTTGTCGAATCTTGCTTTCTTTTGTATAATAGACCTATTGATCAATGCCATTTGTGATTATTATGAGGCGGCCCGCCTGATAATGCTGAGACGATATGCTGCAAGGATTATTGGTAGTTAGAACTATGCGCTCGGGGCGTTTCCGGCGCTTTCTCGACAGTGATGGTGATGTGACGTATAAACCAAAGCCTTTCTGACCCTACTGCCTCGCCTCCGTATGTTTTGATAATTGTTACCTCCAATTTTACCTTTGTGGGGTAATCGATTTCTTCAAATATATGCATGATGTCAAGCCTTGGGGAAGCCAAAGATGTCGATCTAGCTATCGAAGACGAATTGAGTGCGAGGCGGGGCTATACAGCGTGAGCTTGAACGTTCCCATTTACCTTTTGACCAGTATCACTAAGACTTTCCAGTGCTGTGAGAAATCCTAAGGTATCCAGAAAGTCCAAGCGCAATGCATTGGACCTTCTCAATGATGAGATTGACGGGGATACACCTCGACATTACGTTGATGAGCCTCCCCGGGACCAGAGTCACCCGAGTGGTCTTAGTGATACGGAAAGGTGAGAGATAATTTACGAACAATATCGAGTCAATTCCTAACAATAGTCTATCCAGAACAAAATACGAATCTCGCCACACTCAAAGTGTAGATGAATCGGAGAGACTTGATCAGTTTCAATAGGAATCCAATTATGTTGACGTGTTTACGCATTCTAGATATTGAAATTTGTAAAGGCAAAGAATTGTCTATACTGTTAAAACTCTTGTGTTTTATCTATTCTAGGGGCGCGCTTAGCATGCTTTCCTCCTCTGGCCACCTTCGGAACAAATCCTGAAGATGATCCAGTGGAGCCGAGAGCAGCCCGACTGCAGTCTCATAGCGTGGTCTCTCCAGGCCATATGAATGGGACCGAGAGGGCACAAAGATCTTAGTGCGGTTAAGAGATTCAACCAACTTCTCACTCTCGTCAGAAGTGAGAGACTCCTCCAATATGACCAGGTCGTTTGTCTCTTCGTCTTGCATATGCTGGGCAAGACCTTCCATCAACGTAGTAATGGTAGGGATGAAGCGTGGATCGGAACAGTTTAAGTCCTGGAAAACGGCAAGCATTTCCTTTAGCTGTGCTGTATCAGCATTGCTCTCTATTAACCATCGAAAGATGTAACACTTGCCGCTGAATGTTCACGCCGATCATCATCTGTTTTCGCCTTGCCATCAGGGCGAACCTTTTCCAGTGCAGGGAACACTACTAGCTCCTCGGCGACAGCGTGTCGTGCAAGTTCCCAGGTGAACTGATTTTGAAATCGGGTTTGCTCATCTTCATCTTCAGAGTTGACGATGATGTTGTAATAAGATTCCAGTTTCCGGTGATCATCTTTGATCGCCTCGCTTATCCGAACCATATTGGCTTAGTTATTGTGAACAACCTTAGAAGTCATCTTAACATTTTTTTTTCTTACATTGAATATTACCTGGTTCACTGAAGCCATTATGACGTTTCAACATTTTTATAGTAACTGCGACATTCACGGCATTTCGTGGAACGTGGTTCCGAAGTGTACAACTCCCGATGGATATCCCCTGACGTTACTCTTGAGATAATATGACCCAAATATGTCTTGGAAAGAATTAGCATACTCATTTCCCTTGACCGCATGACCTTGGCCCTTCGGCCTAATATAACATATGCACAGTGCCCGAAGTGCGTGATTTGTTCATTCCAATGCAGGGGCTGGAGGGCCTGAGGGGGTATGCATGGAATATCTTGGGTACATATCTCGTATTCGGGCTTTTTTCCTTGTTTTTTTGTTCATCACCTTCCTGCCATGAATAAATCTTATCAGTGACGGTCCTAGTAAAAGGAGAACGTCGACCTCCCACGACAGCGAGTCGGGACCAGCGGTTAGAGGTTTTTGAGGATATTCCGTGATCAAGTCTGACAGGATCTACAGAGAATCGAGAACCAAGTCAGATTTCATCTCTCAGGACAGATTCCCTGTGGTCTTATACGAGCAGATGAAGGGTGGACTTTGCGGTCGCATCTCCCAGTGGCTATGGTCTGGATGGCGGGGTACGGCGTTTGAAGACACCCCGGATTTTCAAAAGCCATACCAACTTCACCCGGGGGACTGTAAAGCCTGTCGTGAGCACCGCACTACTTGTGATCATACACGACCTCAGTGTTCTCACTGTTGGTCACAACAGCTCTTGTGCTTCTATGTGGACCCCCCGAAACAGAAAAAGCATCGGAAGCCAACAGTCCGTGAAGTGGAAACGATTTCTACATAAGGGTTGATGAAAAATGTGATGTGAATATGACTTGTCTTCTTTGCTATCATCTGCCTTTCGAGGAATTTATCTAGATGGCTGGGGTTTTCTGGGATTTATCATGGTCGCAGGTCTAGCGTCTCGAGGCTATCATAGTCTTATTTGCCATGTTTTTGCCCAGGCATTTTGCGTTTTTGCGTTTTATTTTTATTTGGACAAAGACATTTCACTCGATTTAGATTCCAGTCTCATTTTACCAAAATCAAATGAGGGTTGAAGTTCATAAATTTGATTATAGGGTGTAACACCGGAGAATTGTGCCCCGAAACGATTTTTGGCATCAAAATGGGTCGAACCATCAGCATCTCCAGTTCCCACCCCCACCCCCTTTTTTTGATATAACCCCAGAAAAGGACCCCTTGCGAAGATTCTAATTGAGGAGAAATGCCGAGCCGGGCCAACACCGAGGGCCACTGTGTTGCTTCGGAATACTGTGACCCGATACCCGCTCCACCAACGCATACATAACTTGGCCCTGAACTTTTATCAGGCCATTCGAAGAATACCTGGATAGCTGCCGAATTTGCTCTTTGCTTTGCAGTATGATCCGTTGATTGTCACTAGCCGTGGTTGAGGCATCTACTTCAGTTTGCGTCACTATAGATATATCCATGTGCGATTGATTCAAGGTAAATCCTATCTAGGCCCTCATATTATCCAATCTAACCTCAGCCTACAGATGGAATCCGAATACCGGCGACTGGCAGACGCTATCCGCAACCAGGCCGATGCTCATCCCAAATCACGCTTCCTAGTTGCCATTGCCGGCATCCCAGGTTCAGGGAAGACCACCACAGCCGAGGCAGTAGTGCAACAATTGAATCAGAGCTCAACTTCCCGTGCAGCCCTGCTGTCTATGGATGGCTTTCATCTTTCCCGGGCAGCTTTAGATCAGCTCCCCAACCCCAAAGAGGCACATATCCGTCGTGGAGCTCCATGGACGTTTGACGTGAACCGCTTTGTAGCCTTTATCTCTCAGCTCCGCACATGGGCAGACGAGGTACCCCTAGCAACTCCCTATTCTGGAAACTGGTCGTCAAAAGATGTCATTCATGCACCGACATTTGATCACGAAGCGAAGGACCCTGTCGAGGACGGGATTGCGATCACGCCCGATGCCTCAATCATTATCATCGAGGGCAATTATCTGCTTCTTGATGAGCCCGGCTGGCGTGAACTTGCTAAGCTTGTCGACTATCGCGTCTTTGTCGACTCTGATCCGCTAGAAGCAAGGAGCCGACTGGCCGAGCGCCATCTACGGGCAGGTATTGAGAAGACGCTGGAAGATGGATATCGGCGGGTGGACAGCAATGATTTCTTGAATGCGATCTCCATTCGAGAGAAACTACTAGCCACAGATATGGTTGTGAAAAGCATCACAGTGTGATATGTGTTTTAAGACTACGTGAATAGACAGGCATTGCGCGAAATTGAGCAAACATTCATCCATTTCGTTTCTTCCTTACTCATGAACTTCCTGTTTGTGGAATACATCTACGGATATTCGTCAGTTAAAAGGAGCCAGAGGAGTAGCATACTTAACTCACTTGGAATTTCCGGCATCCAGCTGGCCCGAGCCTTGCAGAAAAACTCCCCTTTGGGAGGTAATGCTTCGGGATCGTCTAAGGATCCGACACAGATGTAGCGAAAATGATCCTTGGCAGCATCCTAATTTCTTTTTTAGATGAAAACTCTCGCGCGCCAAAAGCTGACATACCCCATATTCTAGGATGAAGCTACCACAGTTTTGACAAAATTCTCGATAAATCAAAGCTCCAGATCCGTTATCCGCAACATGTTCTTTCGGTGCCCCTTTGGTGAGATTAAACGCTTCCTTTGGAACTTTGGCTGTGAGGCCATAATTAGTTCCGAAAGCTTTCTGTTCCAACATTCCAGATTTAGCGAAATAACATTCCAGTTCAATTGCCAGTGCGTACCTTGCAGTTGCGGCAATGGCAGAGAGATGTTCTCGCATCGTCATTGGAAGCGAGCTTCAGCTCGTATTCAACATTCCGGCAGAAACATGACCCTGTAAGCGTGGGCATCTTGGAGATTTGGGTTTCTCTGATACTGGGATATACCAAGATGTAATGGCGTTACTAGGCTTTGGAAGGCTAATATTAGTTTGTCGAAATTAAATGAAACAAGTTCGTACTATCTCGAGAGTTGTTTCAACTTGTTTGTTCAATTAGTACTCTACGGTAGCACGATGATGCAATAGTGACGGGTTGCGGAGATCCCGAAACCTTGAAGCTTATCTTATACCTTAACTCTCTATCTTCCAAGGTTCCCATAAACGGATGCAAGATGAACCAGAGCAAAGAGCTTAAGAAAAGGTCTGTAGTATCCTCCTTCATCTGCTCAGACGAAGGAGAAATCAAAGTCGCCCTATTTCGGCGAAGTGAGAAAGTCGCGACCTATCAGTATATACCCCGAAGCCCTTAGTGTCATTTATCTCCAGACTAACTTCTCGAGGCACCACCTCGCTCCCATTTCAGGGAGCATTGAGAGCAACGAAACACCATCAGCAGCGGCATGGCGCGAGATTACGGAGGAGACTACTCTCACCGAACGAGATCTTGAGGTCTGGCGACAGGGAAAACCATACACCTTCTGCGATCCTTCTGTCGGTCGGCAATGGACTATTTTCCCGTTCCTATTTCGACTTAAAACCTGCCGCGAAGGTGGTCGCGGGGAGGAGGGTATTCAGATTGACTGGGAGCATGAAGGCTGGCAGTGGTTTAGCCCCGATACAGTCAAAGATGATGAGAAATTCGGCGGTGTACCACGTCTGAAAGAAAGCCTCCGACGAGTCTGGTTCGAAGGTGAAATGAACGAGCGCGCTAGCAAGGCTCTCATATCAGGCTTAGCAGAACTGAAGGCAGATCACCAGAGTGGATCACACGAGCTCACCTCGATTGCGCTGAAGGCTTTCCGAGACGTTATTGCGCAGATGAGCGAGGACATCGACACAAAGTGGTGGGAAACTGCCCGTATGGCTGCATGGCATCTGTGGAAAAATGGACGAGAAAGCATGGGGGCAGCCACCTTGAATGCATTTCTAGGACTGCTCGCCGACATGGAAGAGATCGTACCCCAGACTCTCAACGGCAAGGTCAAATTGGAACGCTTATTGGCTTTACTTGATCACCATTTGAGCAAGCGCAAAGAAATGCCCATGCGCATCAAAAGCTCCTTTGCGACCTATCTTCGATGTAACTTTCTGCCTACATCAGACACAACCCCTTCGCGCCCTCTTGTCATCCTCAGCTTCTCAGCGAGTTCTACCATACGAGATAGCATCCTGGAGGCCTTCGCATCCCTTCCAATTTCAAATCTGGAACTTAGGATACTAGAATCCCGCCCGCTTTGCGAAGGAGTCACTATGGCGTCTTCCATTCTCTCTGCCTTCCAGTCACGATTTCCCTCGTCTTCCGATCGTCATCTGAAATTAACTGTGTATACGGATGCATCCGCAGCTCTCGCCAGCAATGGGGTGGATTTCGTCCTTCTTGGGGCAGACCGGATCTCGGATTCAGGCGCAGTGAGCAATAAAACTGGATCTTTGCCAACTGTTCTGAGTGCCAAACAGGTTTGCCCTAGCGCCAAAGTCTTGGTTCTCAGTGAGCTGGAGAAGGTGGCCGAGCCTGGTGCCGATGGCAACCATAGCCACGAAAAAAATGACCCGAAAGAGCTACTGAGTTGTTGGGTGGACAGCGGCATGAAAGGAATTAAGGCTCTGGTCGAGGGAACTGAGATGGCAGGTCGAGATAACATCAACTACACAGTCGAGGTCAAGAACATCTATTTCGAATGGATTTCGGCTAATCTCATAGATGCGTATATCTGTGAGGAAGGGACGTTGTACGCCACTGCCATTCAAGAGAAGGCCCAACAGGTAAAACAGAAGGCAGATAAATATTTTGGTGAGCTTTAGTGCCTGGTCAAGACAATGCTTGATTGTTTACTTCTGCTTTTCCAGCTCCGTCTTATTATAAATGACGTCATAGTTTGATACTGCTATGAATGGCCTAAATTTGGATTTCGATTCTATACCGAGCATACCTTTCACAAATTGATTCTACTTCTCATAGTGTCGTTCCAAATGTCGAAAGTATTCCAATCGGGGATTCACACCTTCAATGTTCTCGCAAAAGAGTTGACATTTGAATATGTCGTGCATCGCCCATCCAAGGAAAAAGAAGATCCACACAATCTAATTGTTGTTCAATGCCCTGGCTGGGGCTTGGGATCTGAATATCTTGAAAATGGATTGAAAGCGTTATGGGAACCTGAAGATAGTAGCACAAATGCCAGCCGTTATACTGTCATCTTCTTCCATTCTCGTGGGACGGACGGATCATCCCGGCCAGTGGGTTCTCAGATGAGCAGTATGCCCGATCTAGCCTCCGACTTGGAGAATCTCCGCCATCACCTGCATCTGGAGCGATATCCCGTCTTACTGGGCCACTCGAACGGCGGAGCGATTGTGCTGGGGTATGCAGAGATGTATCCCAGCCGCGTTGGCAAGCTCGTTCTCCTCGATCACCAGTTAGTAGGATTTCAGGATAAGAGACTGTTGCAATTCGAAGCGACGCGCATAGATCCTCGATACTAGGATGCTTGGGACAGTATGCTTGTTCGGAAAACCGATACCGACGAGGATTTTACAGAATCAGTGCGAGGCATGTGGCCTTTGCACTTCTTTCATCCGCAGCAGTATGTACCACAGCTACTACGTGATATCGGCGATCGGAAGCTATCAGTTTGGTGCTATCAAGCTCAGGGTCGATGTGACAAGGAGTTGCTAGATCCAATGCAAATGGTGGAGAGGCTTGGAGATGTGCAAGCAGAAACACTCATCATATTCGGGCGCCAAGATATGATCTGTGGAACAGGAATTGCTGAACGGACAGCAAAGGACATCCAAAATGCCCGACTAATTACCTATGGCGAATGTGGGCATTTCCCTTGGATTGAAAAAAGGGAACAGACAATATTGGATATCCGTAACTTCATTCAAGAGGCAGACTAGCATAACTCTCGCAATATAAACCAAACAGATAAAACTTCCAGAGCTTAGTTCTGTGCATTGTTTAAACCAAATGTATCATTGTCCATACAGTAAATCACACGCTAAGGCAGGAACCGAATATCCCCAAAGGCTTTGACAAAGGACAAGAAACATCAATGACATCAACCAAGACGCCAGGGTAGAGGACAGGATCGTTAGAGACCCCTACCACATAAAGAAAACCAACAAAATATATGCAAAAAGTATTGAGGTATCGTCATAATCAGGCGTCACGAACACGCGCCTGCCGCTTTGCGGTGCCAATATGGGTGTTGTGTACTTTGGTGGCGAACTTCAAGCTGGTCAAAGTCTCCGACATGTGTGCCTGGAGCGGGCTGACCATAACAAACATGAGAGTCTTCGAGTTTCCACCCAAGGAGAATTGGAGCAGGTAGGTGAGCTAGGAAGTGAGTTAGTATCTAGCGAACAGAAATGGGAGCAAAAGAAACATACCTTGCTGTTCCGGTATGGGATGTGGCCTCCCTCTTTGCCTTGGCCGAGTGCTGCAATCACATCGCCCAGAGAGCTCAAGCTACGGTTGATGTTCTGAGTCTCTTTCAGACGCTCGCCTGTTGCACCACTGTGGCTCAGGCGTTCGCTTCCTGCCAAGTCAACGAGGTTCAGCGTACCTTCACTGCGTTCACCGGTGATGTGGTTCTGGCCGGTGAGCTTGAGAATGAAGACAGAGTGGGACCGCGATGAGCGCTCGTTAGCCTTAGTCGCCGCCACCGAGCGGTTGGCATCCGCATTCTTGAGAAGAGACTCAACCATCTCAGGGGAGTCCAGGTTGACAGTGGTAATGTCGGTGATAGTAGTCTTGCCCCGCTGCATGTCATGACGGATCTCATGCTTCTTCTTGTCCAATTCATCCGGATTGCCCAAGAGATCGTTGAGGTTTTCATTGTAAACTTCAACAAAGTTGCCGGCCATTGAGTACCGCCAACCCTTCTCTTCCAGACCTTGCGCGGTCTCGTAAATCTGGTGAACAGCACGTGGGATCATGCCGTCGGCCGATGACATCGTGTGCGTCTTGCCACTACCAGTTTGGCCATAACAGAAAATACAAACATTGTAGCCATCCAGGGCGCTCTGAACAAGCTGGCTAATCTCATCAAAAACCTCAGCGTTCTGGGCGGATGGATTGAATACACGATCAAAGGTGAAAGTGTTATTCTTCCGCGTAATTGTTCCAAGGCTGCTCTTCTCTTCGGGACCAAGGATATTAATCTCCTTTCCATCGTCGGATTCATCGGGATACTGCATGAGAGTGAGGTCGGAGGCAGGTTCACTGTTAAGCGAGGGGCGGACTCGGCAGAACACGCGGATATTGCCTTTGAGCTCTTGCACCTGGTTATGAAGCTTGCGTCGGAGTGTCTCTTCCCTGCGCAGCTTCTCCTTTATGGCCTCTGTTTCAGCAAATGCATCCATCATCTCCCGATTGCACCGCTCAAAAGATTTAGACTGCTCCTCCCTTCCACTTTCAAGGAACTCAATGCGTGCCTTAAGTGCACGAATTGACGACTCTAGCGTGACGCTGTTGCTGCTTACGGTATCCAGGTTGAGTTTGAGTTCCTGCACAGTTCTTCGTTCGCGATCAAGGTCTGCCTTCAGGGCCTGTAGCCTGTCGTGCAATGTCGTAATTTCGCGGTCCTTCCTTTCCAACTCAATTTGGGACTTCTGGATATCAAGTGCAGATTGGGAAGTCAGCTTGCCCAACGCACTTACTCGTGCTGCTTTCTCGCCTTCAATCTCACGATCAAAACGTCGTTTCAGGTCGCGGATCTCCTCTTGATGTCGGCTAGTGATTTTCTCAATTTCTTTCCTGCTTTCTTGTTGGGCTGAATCCAATTCAATGCGCTGGCGCTGATAAAGATCATCCAAAGCAATTTCATGATCTCGCTTATCCTCTTTGCGCGCCTGCTCTGCAGTATGTAATTGGCTTCGCAACGAGTCTAATTCCACGCGTTGGGTAATATTGAGTTCTTTCACCTCATCCCGAGATTTCTCGAGTTCGCTTACTGGACGAAAAGATTAGATTCGTTTCATCATGATCCTTATTCAACTCAACTTACTTCTTGCCTTGTAGAGATCAACCGTCTCCTTAAGACCAGAGCTTGCTTGACCTTGTTGGTTTACCTGGGCCAGCAAGGTCTGCATCAATCCCTCCATACTCTTTTCGCGAGAATCTTGATCCCATTCCGGGCCTGTGATATTGTCAAAACTTCTGATCGAAGACCCTTTGGTCAAAAACGCGGGATGAGAGGATTTATTGACAACGCGTCGTTGGGAATGTGATGGGGTTCGGGAGGGTGCGGTGGGAGCGGTAAAAATAGAAGACGAGGAGGACTGCACATGTCCGGGTGACTTTGGGGTGGTAACAGTGGAAACATTGCGAAACGGGGTGCTGGGCAACACGGGGATAGTTGCCAGGTTGGAAGGATTTGGAGAAGGGACAGGCTTCCCTGACACAGAGAGCGTTGCCGATTCACCATTTCCATTCCAACCTTCATCCAATCCGGAGGACACGGTTCCAACGGGACAAGAAGGGATACGATTGGGAGATAAAGGAAACTGTAGCATACCCTTTCGTTTTCCTAACACACTAGGAGAGGCGTCTTCCATATGGGTATCCAATGCGCTCGCTGCGCGGGGAATCGATGCGCCGACGGGTCTGCGACCGTTGAAGGACGGTTGATACCGGGACATGGCTGATGCTGGGCGTGTGCCGGGGCCGACAGTTGAAGAAAAGGAGCCGTTGGTGGAGCGAGTCACAGGTGCAGTGGGCCGGGACATGGTTGAAGATGAGTACGAGTTGCCTCTGCCATGCGCCTTGGTCGTGGCAGTTGCCTGTCGAGTGACGGATCCAGGTCTCCTTGTTTCCGGGTTTGCGGTTTTCGGGCGGGTTGCTTCCGGCGCTGTTAGTTCATGTTGCGCCAATGATTCAGGATCTTCCATACGCGACATGCTCATAGCTTTGTTTGCGATTGTACCTGGCGCCATGATACCGGAGCGCGAGTTGGTTGTCGCGGAGCTAGCCTCACGTAGGCCAGCCTGTGGTAGGCGCATCCGAGTAGACGCCCTGGTGGTTCGGGTCTGAAGATGGTCAATTATGATCCCATGTACAATGATGGAACACAGACTCAAAGTGGGGGGTTGCTTACCATGTTTTCGCCCTCCATATTGGGATCTGTTGACCGCCAGGTTACCGGCGAATAGAGTATCCGGGCAAGAAGGATGAGCTCACGTCCAGCCACTGTCTGTGTTGGCCACTGGGACTTGAAGTTAGCGACTTGGGATGAAAGGACGAGGTATAGGACATGCCAATGGATGGTCTGGGCAGTAACCTTGGAAGTATGAGCATCAAATGAGCGCAAACTCGTTTCTGGAGGGACCGAAATGCAAAGTAAACAAAGAATTGCTGACTCAGGTGGCGCTAGTCTGAACCCGGCAATGTGATTTACTCGTATTCGTATTACCAAGAATATTTGAAAACAGCACGTGATTATTTCAAGACTCGAATATGAAAGGCTTCAATGTTCAACTGAACAAAAACAGATCAAATTAGACAATATCCTAGAAAATATTTACTATTCTTTGTTGACTCCAGAGTCCTTTTGAAGTTGCCGAAATTAGTATTCGTGGGGCGTGTGCCTCCACTCGGATTCCCGAAACGGCCCCAGTAGCCCCGTTGCTTGAGCTTCTCCAACTCTTTCACCTACTCCTTTTTCCTACCTTTTTTTTTGTCTCTAAGTCTTCGTTTGAACATTTGGTAATCATGTCCGGGCGTTTTGTTCGTTCCTCCAAATATCGTGAGTTAATTCTATAATCCAAAATGCGCCTCCCCGCTGACCTTTACAGGCCACGTCTTCGGGCGATCGACGAGAAAGGTAAGGCTAACTCCTATACCCCCCGATCTCTCATTTTCTAATCTTTGCAGGATCAATGTTACGATAACCTTCGAGTCTCCCGAAACGCCTGGGATACCAACCTCCTCAAGGTGTGTGTTTTGCCTTCCGCATCACCCCTGACGTTTCACTGGCGAACCCGGTCTTACGGTGCATCTAGGTCAACCCGAAACACATTGCGGTCAATTGGGAAGCAGGTGGTGGCGGAGCTTTTGCAATTATTCCTCTTGAGGAACGGGGCAAGCTCCCAGAGCGCATCCCATTGTGCCGAGGCCACACTGCGGTTGTTTTGGACACCGACTGGTAAGGGATTCGAATCTAGAACACCCCCGCCGCAGCTCACTGAAACACTGCAGGAACCCTTTCAATGACGATCTAATTGCCTCTGGATCCGATGACGGCAAGGTATAGTGGGACAGACAACATCTATTAGCTTTGCGACTGACCGATTCCAGGTTTTACTCTGGCGGGTTCCGGAGAACTTCACTGTTCGACCTGAGGCCGATGCCGACGACATCCAGGATCTCGCGCCTATTGGCAAATTGAGTGGTCATCCTAAGTATGAATCCTTGCCCAAACCCGTTATCGCCTCATGCTTACCCCTCCCTGTAGGAAGATTGGCCACGTGCTCTTCAACCCCGCGGCAGAAAACGTGCTGGCAACGGCCTCGGGCGACTATACCGTGAAGATCTGGGATATTGAAGCTGGTGCACCGAAGCTCACCCTTAACATTGGCGATATTGTGCAGTCGCAGTCGTGGAGTGCCAACGGTTCCTTGTTGGTCACTACCTCGCGTGACAAGAAGCTCCGCATCTGGGATGTGCGACAGGAACGCCCGGCTCACGAGACCAATGGCCACACCGGTGCCAAGAATAGCCGAGCTGTGTGGCTGGGAGAGCGTGATCGCATTGCGACTACCGGTTTCTCCAAGATGAGCGATCGCCAGCTGGCGCTCTGGGATATCCGTGCCGTTCGGGAACCCATCAACGGTTTCAAGACATTGGATTCCATTTCTGGTGTGTGCATGCCTTTCTGGGATGATGGAACTAGCATGCTATACTTGGCTGGACGAGGGTGAGTGTCCACGATTGAATCCTTAAACTCGCATTTTCTGATAACCAGCAGTGACGGCAACATCCGATACTTCGAGCTTGAGAACGACAAGTTCGAGTTCCTCTCTGAGCACAAGTCTGCCGACCCCCAGCGAGGAGTTGCTTTCATGCCCAAACGTGGCGTGAACATGCATGAGAATGAAGTCGCTCGTGCCTACAAGACCGTCAACGATCAATACATCGAACCCGTCTCATTCATCGTCCCCCGCCGATCCGAGAATTTCCAGGACGACATCTACCCACCTACCGCCGGAGTGACCCCCGCCATGTCTTCGTCCGAATGGCTGGGTGGCAAGGAGGCACTTCCTCCCAAGATCTCCATGGCCAGCTTATTCGATGGCGAGGGCATCAAGGAGGTGAAAGGAGTTGAAGAAAAGCCAACTGGCTCCATGGATGCACCTGCGCCCAAGCCCGCCGATGCACCTCAAGCCACCGAGACCCCCAAGGAGACTCGCAAGACCCCAGAGCCTGCTTCCCCAAAGCCTGCCCCGGAGCCTGTCTCTGAACCTACTCCCGCTGCGCGCCCCGCCCCATCCATGAAGGAACAGGGTGCTTCAATGGCCGCTATGGTGAACAAGTTCGCCGATGGCGAAGACGCCACCGTTTCCGACGATGACGACTCGAGCTTCGAGGAAGTTCCCAAGCCGGTTGAGCGTCCCACTCGCTCTGTCGCTGCCGAGTCTGCTTCGCCCCGTGTCAGCAGCCCATTGAGGCCGAAGGAGGTTGAGACAAAGCCTCAACCCGCCGTGGCTGCGGCTGTAGCTGTAAGTTCCCTTTCTCCTCATTCACATGTGTTACATTGTGCCAGCTGCTAATAATCTCAGTCCCCTATTGCCCCATCACCCGCTACCGATGCCCCCTCGCCCACCACTTCCATCCCTAGGAATGACATCGAAGAGATCAAGAACCTGCTTGCCGAACAAACGAAGACTATTGCCGACCAGGCACAACAAATGCAAACACTGACCGCGGAGATTGAGGCATTGAAGAGCAAGCTAAACTAAATAATATGATTCTAATTTGAGTCTCTGGAGACTGCTAGGTTGGTCAAATATTATCTAGGTACATTCATTGGGGGACTATCGGATTGGAATCCGGTGTTTGACGTATATGAGGCGGAGTGGATAAGTTTTTTTGTTTCTTTTTAGCGGAATTGTCAATACATTGTCCAGTGAAATCAAAAATTTGGATATTATTTCAATCGCCTGTGTATGTAGTATGGTCTAGCACGGTGGGACCAATAGATTTTGTCGAGTATAAGACTAGTATGAAGCTTGGAATACATGCAAGAATTCATAATATATTACTTATAAATAGGTCAATCCAAAGTGCTACTCGTCAATCGTTTGAGTCATGTTAAAATTTGGACAAGCTGGGGTGTCTATTAAGGCCATGATATATATATTCCTCCTCTGTACACATCTCGATTTTTCCCTAGCGGATGGGGCTCTCCTATTTGGGATATATCATATTTGACACTATTATTAAGGATACTATACATCATCCTCACAATAAGCCGTAGATTGAGAGGGCGAGTTCAAAAAGACATCTTCAAACAAGTTCCCGAAAGGAAACGAGAAAGGAAACGCAATTCCGATGCCATCTTGCGGAACTTGATCAGATAACCCTCCAGTGGGGTTCATCTCACCAATATTGCTTTCGTTATCAAGTTGACACGAACCATTCTGCATCTCAGATCCTGCCGGACGCTCTGGTATCCTTTCGCCATCTTGTGCCTGCACACCTGCAGAGTATCGCCCGAGCAGGGATTCATAAATTGGATAGATGGCCGCAAGTACCGGGAACCGATCTTGCAATTTGTCAAGTATCGACATGCAGAAACGGGCACGATTCTGTGAGATCATTCGGACACCTGTATCGCCTTTGTGTATGTTGACGATATAGATCGCGAGAACCGATAGCACGGGTGCAGTTCTAGAAAAGGGTTAGTAACGCACGGGATGGCGCCTTGTCGGGAGACATACATGCTGGCTGCGGCTGCATAGAGAAGATTATTCGCCACGAGTATTTCGAGCATGTGGGAGATCTCTGTACATATCTCGAATGTCGGCGAGTCTGGCCCGATATTGAGAGAGAATCTTGGATTGCTCCGATGCAAAACTAGTCGGTATTCCCTGTAATTTGGAGTCAGAATGGAGGGACCCTGGAAAGTCATGCAAAAGTTAGCTTACTGGTAAAGTATATGAGTCAATATAGCCCACTTGCTACTATTCGCTGATAAGGACCTGAATTCCGGGGAAAGGGATGAATAGCACAAGGAAATCTGCTCTAAGCAGATATCTTGCGAATGGCCCGTATCTTTGTCGTATTTAATAGTGAAGAATTGATCCACTGTAATATTTGTTAGCAACTTTCCTTTAAAAACCCAGGATGATGGATGTCGAACCCGTCTGAGCTAGTTGCACAACGTTTATCGCAAATGTATTTGCCTCATAGTCGTTGTCTGTCTCTTGAGATCCGCCGACTTGTTCAAAATCTGCTTCTGATAGAGGAGAAACATTGCAAAGTCTTCCTTGTACGTGTGGAGGACGATCGAGAAGCATCGACAGATTTATGTCCATGGCCTAGTCTAGAAAGTCAGACTAGCCATACAGACCTGGGGCTTTGTGGGAAATAACCGACATATATCATCCACCACAATCTTCGCCATAGCTTTCGATCCTTCTCTTCAAGACGCACGTATGACTTTCTAGAATACCGATTAGTTGCCTACGGTCCATATTAGAGGGTTAAGTAAACTCACGTTTGATGCAGTCCTAAAGCCTGCGCTATTCCCACAGAGATACCAACCCAGTACCAAGGGTCTTTGTGCTCTAGAATACCATTCCACCAATAGCACATGAGAAATGTGGCTTGGATGGTCACAATAGAATCGGTTTCATATCCAGCATCATAAAGAGATTTGGCTCTCTGGTAAAAGGTGAGGCTTGCAGCGTATCGGGACACAAATCCGGCATCGGCAATGACAGAATCCGCACAATATACAGTAGCAGCGAGATAAACAGCATTCAAGAGCAAGTGCGAGTATTTACCTTCCTCGAGAGTGACAAGAAACCTTGACTTATCAAGAATAGGCAGTGCAGCAAGTGAAAAGTGGAAGTAAGCGCCGAGAAGGGCCTGACTAGTCTCTTGTGATGGGAGGTCAAAAGCTCCTTCGTACTTAAGACGTTCAGTAGTAGAGATACAAATTCTTTCGATCTCTTGCGTCGTCGAGCTGCCCAGGCGAACCAGCATTGACGCGTGGAGGTGATCCTGAAGTGGACGTACATCTGTCGAACCTCCGAAGGGATTCCCAAATTGTTGAACCAAGTAGTTAAGATTAGAAGAGTCTGCAACATACTGCGTTTTACCGCTTGGTCCAAGAGCTGGGAAACACGGCTCTTGCTGTGGCTTATCTCTATCGTCTTGAGCATGCGTGGCTAGTGGGTTTGAACTGGTCACTCCTTCATACGGCACATTGCGAGAGGTCATCGAGAGACCCCTGCTTGAGCCTGCTTCAGTGGGTAAGATAGGAAGCTTTCGTTTCCTAATTCTAAGTTAGTCCTATCATTATGGCCTAATGTTATGGATCCTACCGTCCACGCTGAGATATAATTAGCTCGCATTGGCGCCGGGCATTCCGGCAGTTGGAACACGCGACACCTTCACTGCGATCGCATTTGACACGCCGGTCATGACACAGGCGACAGGCGACTTTAACTGGACCACTGCGCGGCATTTGACAATCGTGAAAGGCAATTAATCGATTGTATGAAGTCGGCGTCTTGAATTCGGCGAGGTTAGCAAAATTGGACCCATCAAGTCGCCGAATTTTAACACTTCCAATTGGCTGAACTCTTGATATCTGCCCTTTCATTGGACAATCAACACCACCTGCTTGGAAATATCTATAAAAGTTCTCGAACGAGATGAATGAGGTGATTTCACCATTTACACTTGCCTCTCGAGCTAGCAAATATTCTGGTTAGCTAGCGACAATGCTGTTGAATACATCTTCTCGAAATATACTCCGTCGCTCCAATACAAAGCAATGGTCACTAGGTCTCTTGCCCACTATCGCAACGAAACGATACGTACGCACATCTTCAGAACCTAGCAGCTCTACATCTACACCCCTACCATTCAAGAAGGAGAAAGATGGGGCATCCGGGTATCTTCTGTACGTCAGATAAACCAATTAATAACTTGCATCCGATTGATCTGTACTAACATTTTCCCGCTATTAGGGCAAAAGCCGATGATCTAGTCAACTGGGGAAGGCAAGGCTCCCTGTGGCCCTTGTCATTCGGACTAGCCTGCTGCGGAATCGAAATGATGCATACCTCAATGCCACGCTACGACCAGGATCGCCTGGGCATTATTTTCCGCGCCTCGCCACGGCAAGCCGATGTCATGATAGTGGCCGGTACGGTAGTCAACAAGATGGCACCGGCAGTGAGACAACTATATGATCAGATGCCGGATCCGAAATGGGTGATCAGCATGGGCAGTTGTGCCAATGGTGGAGGATATTACCACTACAGTTACAATGTTGTACGCGGTGTGGACCGCATCGTGCCAGTGGATATCTATGTGCCTGGATGTCCACCAACTGCCGAGGCACTTCTGCAGGGGATTTTTCTTCTACAGAAGAAGATGCGTAGGACCCAGGTTACCAGGATGTGGTATAGGCGTTAGGTGAATGTTGAATTAGGGTATATATCGTGACGAAATCCAATGCTGTCACAGTTATAGAAGCTATGTATGCTGTTTGCTACAACATACGTAGTAGTTTGCTTGCTATTTTACAGGGGTATAAATACCCTGTATCTTAATAGTTTCTCCAATGCAGATCCATCTTCCTCATCTCTCACATTGCATGTTCAGTAATACCTTAGCTCAAGTGTAACAATGAAGCGTTTCTGTCGCAGTCTAAATTGTTTCAGGCACAGCGATGACAGGGAGTCCAGGAAATCCCCAGTCCAATCATCAGTCCAATCCCCAGTACAATCCATCATCTCTAGATTTCTTCATGAGGACTCCCCGGACCAATCCATCATCATCCTAGTTCCTGACGAGGAATCCCCGACCCAATCCATCATCTCTCGATTTCTCCACGAGGACTCCCCGGACCAATCCATCATCGTCCTGGTTCCCGACGAGGAATCTTCAGCCTAATCAATTATCACCCTAGTTCCTGGGGGGCCTCTTCACGTCCAGTAGCTGGTACATATGTTGTACTGGTAGACGATTTAGCTACAAGGATCACATGGATCTTTTTCTTTTCAACATCAAACAAGGAATCACCGCAGCAAGGCACAGATAGAATAGAAAATTCATTTTCACCACTTGGAGTGGCATTGCCTCTATTCATAAGAAGCCGTTTCAGATAGCTTACACAAATCCCATATCTACTGTTGAACAAGCTCACATACCAGCTCAAGGAGATAACATGCAAGAAAGTGAGAGAACAACCCTTGACGCCATGTCCCATGATTTTGTACGGAAAGCAAAAATCAAACTCCAAGCTTAAAGTTCATCTTCGTACTTGTAGTTGATGCGACGGCCCGCCACCATACGGTCCTGCCGGCTATCACGGCGGCGGCCAGACTTGGCCTTTTCACGATGCTGCTGCTCACGCTCAAGGCGTTCCTTATTGCGTGCTTCGCGCTCAAGTGTGTAAGGGTCTTTATCGGACTCGGCCTTCTTGGTCGAGGCTCCGTTCGTGTCTCTACTACGCTCCTCATCGCCACGTTTCACACGACGGGCTTGGGGATGGTCGCCGCCGGCGGTAGATGGGGATCGATCGCGGCGAGAACGCTTGCGATCACGGTCACGGTCACGATCACGATCACGATCACGCTCCCTTGGTCGATCTCGGTCCCGCTCGGGAGCTCTGTCTTTATCGCGGTCGCCCTCACGGCGACGTTCGCGATCAGAGTCGCGGTCTCTACCACGTCGATCGCGGTCTCGGTCTCGGTCTCGGTCTCGGTCACGATCACGATCACGATCACGATCTCGGCGTCGGAGATCTCGGTCCTGTTCTCGTGATCTGTCGTCTTCGCGTCGACTACCTCTATCCTTGGTGGAGCGGTAGGTGCTGCTGATTCGGCTTGCTAAATCCCGCGACTCTGGGGCCTCGGAGGACGCCCTGATCCTGCCATTTGATTCATCTTTCTCTGCAATCTTGTCTAGGCGACCAGAGGGACGGACATCACCGTTTCGGCTTGAGCTGCGGCTACGGCTGCGATGACGACGAGAGCGTTGCGAACGGTGCGTGGTTCTTCTATCCCGCTCCCGATCACTGTCGTGATGGCGGCGTCGCGAGGATGCGCGGGATGGGGAGCGAGAGTGACGAGCGTCGGATTGTAGCTCATCAACCCGATCTTGGCGTTTGATTTCTGCCTCACGCCGACTCTCACGATCGTCTTCAGTACCATGAACAGATAGTGAACGGGGGCGAGCGGCTGGATTCTGTGAGGGGGATTGGGATCGAGACTGCGCACCTTGGGACACGGCAGTGGATGTAGCCCTTGTGCGATCGTCCTCAGTGGGTTCACTATTGACAGTTAGAATTTATATCGTCAAGACAAAACAAAAGACAAAAGAGGGGAAGGTCTTACCCAGAAACACTTGCTCGTCCTTGAATCTGGAAGCCACGTTGTCGTAGCACACTGGTATTGGGTAGCCCCTGCCGCATGGCACGCGGAGCAGCTGGGGCACCTTCGACGCCAGGTCCCCGTTCTTGTCCATACCGACCATATCTGTATTGGCCATACCCATTACTACCGTATCCAGGGCCAGTTGGTACAGAATTATCAAGGCTGTCAATGGTGGGAATTCCCTGGGGTTGGTGTGTGTTTGTTGGGAGATCTGAATTACCCGGTACATTGGGTTCAGTTTCACCTGATTGTGTAGTCTCATTTGCTTGGATGTTACCTTGGGCATCCATTGAAGTACCGTTCAGACCATTAGGCATGCTTGGGTTCTGATTGGGGTAGCCTGAGTTAGCACCCTGACGGTAATGACCTTGCATGGGTCCAAAGCCACCACGACCGGAGCCATGAAACTGGCCCCGGCCTCGACCTCGGTAACCGCCACGACCATAACCGCCGTAGTAACCAGACTGGTAGTCTGAGTGAGAAGGGTAAGCAGACATATTAGACCCGCCAAATGCTCCGCCATAAGGAGGACCCGTGCCATTTGCGAAAGCATTTGGATTGAATTTATTTTGGCCGCCTTGCCACATATTGTTGTTCTGTTGGGATGCGTCCCATCCTAAGGATCCATACATGCCCCCGCTGTAGTTCATCCCAGAGTTCATGCCCATGCCAGCCATGTTCATTCCGTACATTCCCTGATTTGCCATCGGGTCCATCCCCATGGGCATACCTGTGGAGAGATTAGCGAGGTCGAAACGGCAAAAATTGGTAATATTGATCTTACCCATCGCGTTCGGGTAATTGAACATGCCAGCCATAAAAGGATTCATGCCGTTCCCGTTCCAGCCCATCGCGGGGAAGTTGCCGGTCATGTTCGGTGTCATCGAGTTGGTACCGGATTCTCCAGGAACTTCCTCTGCCGTGGGAGCAGGTTCTCCATTTACTGGAATTTCGTTGACTGCGGCATCTTCAGTCATAGACTCAGGGACCGGTTCGCGGTTGAGTTGATCGCCAGTTGCCTCGGGCTAAACAAAGGGTTAGTTTAGGAAAGTAGAGTGTGTGACAGTAGTAGGAAATTACCTGAGCTGGCTGATCTGCCGAATTCGAGACATTTGGCCCTGGAATACTCTCTCCAACTGTGTCCGGAGCTGGTGTGTCTATTCCCGGTTCTTGAGGCTTTGAATCTGCAGGCTCTGTAGGACACGGAGGTAGAGGTGCGTCGGTTTCCACAGATGTCACAAGTTCATCCCTATTTTGATCAGGGAATGAATCCTGGGCAGGTGTTTTTGTCTCTGCAGGAGTGACAATGGATGGTGTTGGAGGTGCCGTAGATTGGCGGTCCTTTTCCCGCTTCTTTTCTTCAGTGCGCAGGAAAGCCTTGAGAGTGGTTCGTAGAGCCTTGTTTGGTTTGCAGAGATCGGGAGAGACAGGGGTATGTGTGCAGACGGGACATGTATCAGAGAGGGAAGCTTGGCCTAGAACAGATATCAGATTAGCTACCATTTGCGACAGGTGCGAAAGATTGGTTCCAACATACAGGTCTCGCAGATAGACTGGTCACAACAGGGGAGACGAAATGCATTCACCGCCAGCTTATTGCAGATGGCACATCGTAACTTGAAAGGGATCTCATCTTGGGCCAGGGTACTGCAGAATCATTAGCATCATTCCGAATTTTTGATCGGCATGTGAGTACGTACCTGGCAATGTCCATGAGACCAGGCACATCCGCCACCGCCATGGCTGGTGATGGCTGGTGATGGCTGGAGATATTAGATAACCCTGATTAGACAGAGAGCTTCAGGGACATGGCTTCAATGTCTGGTAAGAAGTGTAGAGGTTGATGCTTGAAATTGGTCGGAAAAACTATTTCGCCGAAGTTACATGTCAGAGAGAAGTAAGAACTGAGGGATGACGTGGAGCACGCAAACAAGGCGCATTGTAGATATGATGAGACCCCTCAGATTAGATCAAGTTATTTTTGGTGTTCACAGAAGAAACAGCGATACGCTTATGGTTTCATCTGGTTCAACTCGACGTTTTTGGATTTATCGTCATCGGGTATTCTACGGGTGCCTAGAGAGGGGGGAGAAAGCAGATACTACCTACAATATACAGATAATTCAATATATTGAGATTTGAATATATAGAACAAAGGAATAGAGGAGGAGTACTCCATACAGGGAATAGGGATAGATAATATAATAAAAGACAAGAGTCAGAAAGGTGAAGAAGAGAATATAACAAAGAGAAGATGGAAAAAATAAGAACAAAAATGTAAAAAAGTAAAAAATAAAAAAATAAAAAAAACAGTCAAAACAGTCAAACCCGGTAAAAACATTACCAAAAAAACACACGACGGAATTTAAAAAGGACAGCGGCGCCCGAGTCGGGTTGTTGGATTCTCCTCTCCAGGGAGCTTGGGCCACCTACTTTTTCGCGATTCCACTTAATAAATTTTTTTTTTCTTGACCATGACAGAGGACAATTATCGGCCTCGCTCTCCTGATTTCTCTCTTCCTCCTCCTCAACAACACGTGCTTCCGAGTCCAATTACATCTTATACATCACCATTCTTCAATTCATACCAACCATACCAACGAAATCCAAGTCGCGTGTCCCAGCAGTACGTCCCGCCATATCAGCCAGACGACTCTGACATGGCTCGTCGCTCAAGCCGTCTTGCTCAGTCAGACCACGCCCCTATTCCCGACCATATGCCTGAAGCAATTCAACCTATGCCTGAAGCAATCCAACCAATCCCAGAGCCGATCGCAATGGCGCCAGTCCCCGCTGTTGCGCCGGAGACAGAGGAAGAGATGCCGCCGGCCCCTCCAAGTGTGGGGATTGAAGTAAAGACCAAGTTCCCCGTGGCGCGCATCAAGCGCATCATGCAGGCCGATGAGGATGTCGGTAAGGTTGCTCAAGTAACACCGATTGCTGTGTGTAAGTACATCCTTTGCGCGTCCCTTGAACGATATTTTTTTTTTTTTTTTCATGTTTGCAAGATGTACTGACCAGTCACTTTCTTATAGCCAAGGCTCTCGAACTCTTCATGATATCCCTCGTCACCAAGGCGGCACAAGAAGCAAAGGATCGCAACTCAAAGCGCGTCACAGCTTCGCATCTTAAACAAGCCGTCGCCAAGGATGAGGTACTTGACTTCTTGGCCGACATCATCTCTAAGGTCCCTGATCAACCTGCTAGTCGGAAGCACGAAGATGAGGGGAGCGATCAGAATGAGGGTCGCCGTAAGCGGGGCGGGCGGCGACCGAAGGATGAGAGTGATTGAGCTTGACCCGTAAATGATTTGACGACGTGCTAGATGGGATTGGTATCAGGCGCATAAATTCATGGGGGTTTTATTTTTTGGGCGTTTAAATAGTGGGAGGCAGATCTGGGAGCGCATTTCTCTGTGAATATTTTTGGTTTTGGAGACTCGAATGAGTCGAGTACCCCTTACACGCACGGTCTTTTTATTCAAACTGGACCTGGACTGACATTTTCTTCTTCGCTGGAACTGGAATATGTATGGCTGTAACTGTATAAATTTGGATTGTTGCGCATGTAGTATATTGGAAAGGCGATGCCCGTAATTGTAAAGCGGCGATCAGCGCGATAAACACCGTCTCCACTAATCCTCAACCCCGTCACTTTCATTCTGTGAGATCATGCTGTCCTCACAGAATGGACTTTGTACGTGCTCGTTCCTTCTCTATGGATCCCTACTAATATACTTAACACAGTGGTCTCGTCTTATCGGCGGCTCGCGCGCGCTGCCCAACAAATCCTCCAAGGCCACCTCGCCCACGGAACGTATGACTGCCTTTAAGCGTGCCTGCAATGCCCTCCAGGTACCAACACCATGTCCGCTTCCATGACCCCAACTAACTCAATTGATAGCAAATATGGCGTGCAACAAATAATCCTTCTGGCGAACAATCGGTTGCGCACGCGCGGACGTACGTTGAACGACTCAATTCGATTCTGAGCGAGGAAGCCCGCGGGCCCGCACCGCACCCCTGTGTCGCCTATGCAGCATCTTCCCAGGTTTTTGTGACAGTGACCAAGCTTGCCCTCTCTTTTTATGATGAAGGAGTCATCCGATCAGCCACGGTATTCTTCAACACGCTGATCGATGCGGAAGTGGATGGGGTTGTGGACAACCGATTGTTCGCCCGGGCGATGGTTGATCTAGTCCGCCGCGCCGAAAAGACCTCGGATGAGATCGAGGGCCGACTCGTCGAGCTGCTGTTTGGGATTGCAAACAACATTCGTCTTCAGCCTGTTATCCTGCCCGCATGGTTTGTGCCTCGGGTAACACCCACTGCCCAGGATAGCGATTCCCAAGCCCCAAGTGGGACGGAGTTTGCAGGAGCTACGAGGAAGGACGAATTTCCTCTGTTCTATCTGCTGGTGGACTATGTCCACCATGAAGGGCGCGCCGGCGACTTTGCCCGTACGGGTTTGCTCTACCTCATTGAAACCGCGTCGCGGTCCAAGAATCTAGAAAAGTGGCTGATCGAAAGTGACCTGGCTACGCTCATGGCCACTGGACTGGGTGCGCTATACAGCCAGCTGGGACAGTAAGTTTGTTTCTTTGATCGATATGGAACAGTACACTAATTGAATATAGCTTGTCATTTACTCCCACCGACGAGGACGAGAATGTTCCTCACATTATTGCGTTATCTGATCACGCCAAAGAAGAGACCGCTTTGCAGCCAACTCTAGGTCAAACAATGGATGCATTCATGTCATATCTGTTATTTTGGCAGGATACAATCGACCATTGCAAATCGGCTGAAGTGAACGACACTTTGCTAGATCATTTCCAGGTGCTGTTTCTGGAACAACTCCTGTCAGTATACCCTCGTCGCTCTGGGATAGATTCATCACTAATCCTAACAGATACCCCTCCTTGTTAGAATCATCAGATGTAGCTGGTGGCTCAACAGCGGCGGTGCTGACCTACATGTGCCGCATCCTTGATTCAATCGATCAAGGCGAATTGGTTCATCGAATCCTACATTTCTTACTAGCATCTTCCCCTCAACCCGAGGAGCAAATGGACATGTCTGCGAGTCGACGGAAATCGCTGAATGTGCTAGCTGCGCTAGCGTCCGAAGCGGCTCAACCATCACCGTCACTATTTAATCTTCGCGATTTGGCCCTACTGGGACTCCAGTCATCAAACAGCCAGACAGTTTTAGCCACACTGCGCCTGTTAAACACCGTTCTTCAAAGACACCATCTATTTGCACGGGCGCTAATCCATACCATTCCCACTCAGCCCGCACATCAGCGCCCGGTTGGCGCTTTGAATGCTGAGCTAGAGCAACTTTTGGTTATGGGAACATCCCTCGTCCATGACCCTACGCTGAATGAGTCGTATGACAATTATGTTGCAGATGCGACATGTGTGCTTGAATCCCGCCTGTGTCTGCCCATTTCATCGATGGAAGAAGACGAGGAGACGCTACCCCTACCATTACCGCTCCAGCAAGACGATCCAATAGTGCAGGCCCTCTTCACGTGCTTTGAATCTTTCTTTACTAACAGTGTCATTGTCAATCTGGCATTAACAGGTGTGTTCATGAGCCTGGCATCTTCACATCTCTTCTCTTTGGACGGGTTGGTGTTGGTTGATCCCAACCAATATGAGGCCCCATCCTCCGAAGAAATCGACGACGAATTTGAACACGTTCGTCGGGCCTATCAGGCACCAACTTGGCCTACCACAGCTGCTCCGACATTGACATTAGCGCTCCAAAAACTCGTGAACCAGGTCCGACAATGGCAACGAGAACTCCCTGACTTTGATGTACTGCTTGCTGCCCGACGAGAACTCTTGCACCAGGAAGATCGCCCACAGACGCCAGACCGATCACGGGAGCCCTCGGAGGCTCCAGTATCTTTAACGGATCGCTCCCGCCCGTCATACCCTGGTTCGCCGGATGCCTCTACTCTAGGTTCCCGTGGCCGGTCTCCGTACCCTGTATATTCGCCCCCTATGTTTTCTAGTCGGGATCGGGATGGATCCTCTGTCCTTTCCGACTCGCGAGGATCCTTGAACACCCGGGCTGTAGCCGCTGAAGCTCTTCGCCAGCGCCTTTCTATGCCGTTCCCGCCTGCACCCGCGGATCCACAGTCCCCGTCTGCTGAGGAAGAGGCATCAGGTTCAGAAGATACTAAGGATGGGCCTGTCGCGACTCTTGGACACGTGCTGACGAATGTGGTGATTCTTTATGAATTCATCCTAGAGCTGTCGGCAGTAGTACAAGTTCGGGGAAGCTTGTTTGAAGAGGCAGGATACGACTGTTAGGAAAGGGGTTTTGTACGGAGTATATAATGGGGTATACCTAGGCATCAGGATACTGTTTTCTTTCTGCCTGACAAATTCATCAAAAATATAAGAATTTGATATGTATAAGAATAGTACCCGTATACCCGTATACCCGGAAGCCAAGTCGGCCCCCTAACCCCTGGAAGAGAAACTGCCAAGACACCGTGCCAGATTCGCTTGCGACGATTGGCAACTTGGCTTACACGTACAACATAGAACTGTTCTCTTTCCTTTCTGAAACCTTTGACAATGGTCTGATTTTACCCTCATTTATACTATCCGATCGAACTTCTTTTTATATATACCCTCACTTGACGGTATGACAGACCAAGATGGCCTCCATACGTCATGAGTCTCTCGACCGCGAGGACCGCGAGGATGCCCCATTCCTCGACTCCCATCCGAGCACCTCCGGTCCAGCCCATCGTCATGTACATAGCAAGCCGAGTATAGGCAGCCGCCCAGTGAAGGCCAATGCCTCCGCCAGCGCCATCAGTTTCCGCCTTAAGGCGATCCTATTCGCCATGGTCCTCGCTGTTGAAGTCGGCTTCGCTTTCCTGGAGGGCCCACTGGTCCGGATCATGGAGTCTATTGCTTGTCGCCAGTATTTCTTAGTTGTGGATCCGACTAAGATCGGCATGGATGGACAAGTGCCCGAGGCCATGTGTAAGATCGGCGAGGTACAAGCTGAACTGGCGGCTGTGAAAGGCTACCATATGTTCTTTGATGGGTCACTGAGTACGTTAATCTGAATATTTAGGACGAAAATATTCTCTAATAAGTTCGCAGGCGCTCTTTTGGCGATTCCCTACGGTCTGCTGGCAGACCGTCGTGGCCGCAAATCTACACTCGCTTTGTCTATTCCCGGGTTTGGGTTGAATGCAATCCTTACACTCGTTATGTTGTGGTTCTCGGATATCTTTCCCTTGCGCGCGCTTTGGTTTACTGCCTTGACGTGGGTGTTTGGCGGTGGTCCAGTTGTGTCTTTTGCGATTATATGGACTATGATGGCCGATGTAACCAACGAGGCAGAAAGGTATGTTACTCATCTAACTTGAGTATATTTTATAGGTGCTAATTAAGTGGTATAGAGCGGGTATCTTCTTTCAATTTGCCATCGTATCAATGGGCGCCGACTTCGCTTCAAGTGCTGTTAGTTCCTATCTGATGACCTTGAATCCCTGGATACCATTGGTGATTGGATTCGGAATTGTAATGGCGGGCATGATGCTCATCTTGTTGCTACCGGAAACGAAGCATGCACTCCCACCCCGTAAAGCCGAACCATCAAATGTCGAGCTGTCAGATCTGACAGATGAGCCTGAACCAAAACATTCTTTACATGATCTCAACGAACGGGAACCACATTGCGCAGAACCCGACATGAATGGTGATCACGAGGACGAACCGCCGTCTTGGAGCATCCCCTCATACTCCCACCAATCTATTCTGGCAAAGGTCCGCGCAAATTACCGCTTCTACCTCAAGCCCTACCGGTTCATTCTCAATCGAAAACCAGTGCTTCTCCTTCTCACTGCATTCCTGGTATACCGCCTGAGCCGTGGCTCATCCTGGTTTTTGGCTCAATACATATCGACCCGTTATTCATGGACACTGGCGCAGTCTAACTTCCTGGTATCTGCTCGTCCGACTGTCTCAATCCCACTATTTCTCTTCGGCCTACCTTTCCTCAAAAGCCGAGTCCTCAACCCCCGACTTTCATCGACAGAAAAAGACCTCTGGCTCGCGCGGCGTAGTATATTCTGCCTTACAATTGGAACCCTTGGCATTGGTCTCTCCCCGAGCATCGCGACTCTGATCCCCAGCATGGTCATCCAGACTTCAGGATCGGGCTTCGTTTTCCTTGCTCGCTCTATCATTACCACTTTGGTTGAACGTGATGAGACCGCGCGTTTGTTTACTGCGATCGAGATTATCCAGTCATTGGGAAATGTGGTTGCGAGTTTATCTATCACGACAGTCTTCCAGATTGGACTGCGTCTTGGTGGGTTCTGGATTGGTCTCGCGTGGATGATGACCAGCACGCTCTTCTGCTTAGTTGGAATAGCCATCTGGAGTTTAAAACTGCCCCCAAGTTCCCCGACACCGGAATTCGTGGTGGATGATTACGATGGGGAAGACAGGGCGTGATCCTATAGATCTTGTATACTATTCATAGCTCCTGTGCGCATTCAAAGCGTGTTTTCTTTTTTTTTTTTTTTGGGAGGGAACCTGCTATATTAATGTATATCTTTGTATGGAAAAGATCAAACAAACCACATAGAGCCTTGGATCCCAAGATCCCTCGATGTCTACCTCGTACTCCTACCTACAGCGCTTATGCTTGTACAAGAAATGCGAGTTGATGCCTTAAGGCATAATACCACGTGACAGCTCCAGTCGCATGTGAAGATCACCAGCTTGTCGACTAGACTCCACTATCTGTCTCAACTTGTGCTCCTGGCGCATTCACCCTTGCTTAGCGCATGACGTGTTGGTGATTGAGCCCGTATCAAAGCTCATTCTGCCCAAAGCTGTCATAACAAGAGATGGAGAGATACTCTCAGTTCCGAGATCGAGGTGAGTTTCCGCTGTGATAACCAGCCCCTCAAAGTACAGTTATACTAACATCTCCCAGGCTCGGGGATTGCACCCTTCCTCCCGATTCCCATTGAACCACTCGGCCTCCAAGCTCCCCTTCGTATATTTCTCTTCTGCTTCCGGCTCCCGCTGTTCATCTTCGTCACCCTTAGCTATTTTTTGATATTACAATGGCTTCCTATCGGCTCGCTGGGCAAAAAGGCTGCTCTATGGTGTATCCTTGGAGTTCCTAGTATCTGGTGGATTGATCTCCAAGTGGACGGAGTGCGAAAAGGGTTCGCTTTACAACATTGGAACTATAGCCTCTTCCGCCTGATAACTAACACTTCCGACATAGGTCCTTGAAGCAGCAGCAAGCACGTCTGCCACAGCCGGGCTCGGTCATCGCCTCGTCCTTCACGTCACCCATTGATGCCGTGTATCTGGCAGCTATCTTCGACCCGGTCTTCACAGCCTCCTACCCCAACACTCGCCAAGTCGAGCGCATCTCTTTGCTCCAGGCCATTCTGCGAGCTTTCGCTTTCCCTGCTACGCAGCCGGCTCCTGGAGCCCGGATGGTGGATATCTCCACCCTGGTTGAGCAGTATCCCAACAGGCCGATCGTATTGTTCCCAGAGTGTACCACCACCAATGGTCGCGGCATCTTGACCCTGAGCAACTCCCTCCTCGGGGTACCTCCCAAGACCAAGATCTTCCCCGTCAGTCTGCGCTATACACCTATGGATATTGTGACTCCTCTTCCTGGGAGTTATATGAGTTTGCTGTGGACGTTGCTTAGCAAGCCGACCCACTGCATCAGAGTGCGCATTGCGGAGTCCATTACAAATAGCCAAAACACCGCTGATACAACTTCGTCTCGCAAATCTACCTATAATACTAATTACCTGGACACAATGGACCAAAATGGCCAAGGAGAACAGATCTTAGCTAGTGAGAAGGCGCTCCTGGATAACGTGGGAGAGTCACTCGCCCGTCTCGGCCGGGTCAAGCGGGTTGGCTTGGGAGTAAAAGATAAGCAGGAGTTTTCCCGAGCGTGGAGTCAGAGTCGTCGGACATGGTGATCTTGTACATAGTTATTTTTGGTATATTTTATAGATATTTAGCCCAAACATATTGTGTGGGGTCAAGCTATTTTCGCCGAAATTGCATATGGGTTACATATGCACCTTGCAAAGGTACAGAATTAATGGTAGAGGATGGATCTGGGCCGGGGTTTTGCTTTCTATAGAGACTCCGGATACTAATATCGGGTATATGTTCGCCATTGGACAGTATGCGGTCACTTAATTAGAACTTGTATCTTCAATGTACTCTCATGTTGATACCTGGAATTGTCCTTTTTAATTAGATTCTCTAGGGCTTTTGTTTTCAGATGTGTCAGGCCTTGAAGCGATCCATGGATGATAATCCTATGAGATGACTTCGGAAGCTAACAAAAGTGGTGTACTGAGGTTTGATCAACCCTACTTGATATAATCTTGACTTATTTGATTCCTGAGGTCCGTTAGGAGGTGACGTGGTACGTGGTTTCATGGTCCCTCTATACATCTCTCTCTCTCTTTTCCTTTCCCTCTTAGCTCCTTCTCTATAGACACTAAGGGCATATCTTGTCGAGACCAACCATGCTTCTTGAACTCCTTCTCCTGGCAGTAGGGGCCGTATCGGTCCCTCTTATTGGTTCTAATGTGGCATTGAAATCATGCTTCGAAAATGCTCTGCCAAACTGGGGAAGTTTTGCCTTTGCCGGGGATCCGTTCTACGACCGCATTGTGAATCGCTACAACCTGAACATTCCTGTTACCCCAGCAGCGATGACTTTTCCCACGTGAGTATTATTAGAAACAATAATTCATTATGTTCCTTGCTCATAGACTACAGCTCTTCCCAGGAGGTCGCTGCTATTGTCAAGTGTGCTGCAGAGCACGGATATCCAGTCCAGGCCAGAAGTGGAGGGCACAGCTATGGTAACCACGGTGAGATTCCAATTTCATCTCATTGGGGAGTAATCTGATATGGGGCCTAACCTGAAATATGTGACAGGGCTTGGAGGAATAGACGGTGCTGTTGCGATTGATTTGAGGTATCTCAAGCAATTCTCCATGGACAATACAACTTGGCAAGCTACAATTGGGGCGGGGAACTTGTTGAGTGATGTGACACAACGGCTGTATTACGCCGGAGGACGGACTATGTCCCATGGAATTTGTCCTCAAGTGGGCTCGGGGGGACATTTCACAATTGGTGGTCTTGGTCCGACTTCGCGTCAATTCGGTACCGCACTTGATCATATATTGGAGGTTGAGGTGGTCCTCGCCAACTCGAGCATTGTCAGGGCCTCAGACACGGAGAACCATGACCTCTTTTGGGCTATCAAAGGTGCTGCTTCGGGCTATGGTATCGTCACGGAGTTTAAGGTCCGAACTGAGCCTGATCCTGGTATTGCGGTGCAGTTTGTATACAGCTTGCAGATTGGCACCCCCAAGCAGCAGGCGGTCCTTTTCAAGAGCTGGCAGGCCTTTGTGTCAGACCCGAAGTTGACTCGAAAGCTGGCATCCACGCTCACTGTACTTGAGAAGAGTATGGCAATTACCGGTACCTTCTTCGGCACGAAGGAAGAGTATGATAAGATGAACCTCAGCAGCAGGTTCCCTGGTGCAAATGGTAGTGCATATATTTTTGATGACTGGCTAGGTATCGTCGCCCACTGGGCTCAGGACCTCGTTTTGAGATTAGGCGCTGGAATTCCAACAAATTTCTACGCCAAGTCTACTTCTTGGACGGCCCAGACCCTTATGACACCGGATACTATCGACAAAATGTTTGAGTATATTGGTACTGTCGATAAGGGAACTTTGGGCTGGTTCTTGTTGTTTGATCTTCAGGGAGGTTACACCAACGACATTCCCATTAATGCTACATCTTACGCCCACCGTGATGTGCTCATCTGGCTACAGTCCTACACACTCAACTTCCTGGGACACATCTCCCAGACTCAGATTAACTTCCTCGAGGCGCTTGATAAGATTGTCACTAATGGGAACCTTCCCCACGCTGCCTACCCGGGCTACGTTGATCCTCGTATGCACAACGCTCCCGAGGCATACTGGGGTACCAACCTCCCTCGACTGCAGCAGATCAAATACCAAGTTGACCCAAACAATGTGTTTCGGAATCCACAGAGCCCATCTCCTGTAAAGAACGGAGAATCCTTCCTTTTGTGACAAATTATAGGGTCTTCCACATTCAGAACTACGTTGAGTAGTAGATTTTGAATCAAGGCATAACCACCGTATTCTATAAAGTCTTTCCAGAACAATTGCTCAAGATACCATCTTGACCATGCTTTATTTTGATCCGTCGTATGCGTATCTCTATTCATTCTCGCTTTTCTGCTTCGCCGCCCACTCCTCACTCTGACGAGACGTCCATTCCCAACGAAGCGCCCACATCTCTCCATACAACTTCTCTGAGCACTCAGAACACATTCCCGCCTTTATCTGAAGCCTGTCTTCGGGAATCCCGATGATTCCAATATTGAGAGCTAGTAAAACACGTCCTGTACATCGCGCTCGTTGGAAAAATGGCACGCCGAACTCTTCGCAACGTTGAACTCGTCCTAAATGAATGCAGTTGCACATAGTCCACATGTCGTAAGTCTGTACACACATCTTGACGATAATTATTTCTGTGGCTTAAGTAAAGAAGGAACACAGACACTGTATCGTATGCTTGGGATTTCCGGAGGTTAGTTTGCGATATCAGAGAGCTCTAGATAGGATATAGATGGAGATTATATATTTGTGAAGGTAGAAATAGATATTGGACACTACAAATATGCATTGATCTTTGAAGGCATTGGTCTCTTATTCCATTTCTTTGTTTCTTTAAGGTGTTGCTTTGAGCTGACTGCTACTATTACCGAGAAACCAGTCAACAAAGGCATGCACAGAACATTGTCTCAATAGACAGAAATTTCCAATGTTACAGTGGAACCTAGTTGAAGAGTCAAATCGACATTGGTATAACCAGTAATAGTGAGTGATCTTTACGATCTATGCCATACATTACAAAGATTGATCCTCAATCATAGGTCTCACTCACATGGAAAGGTCGTCTATATATCTCACGGAGTTTGCCGCTGCCAACCACGTAAAGCATTAAGAAGCCACAGAAGCCAACTACTCTTATAATGGGGACTATAATCCAACATATATCGCCCGACGTAATGTATGTGGTGATTATCAAAATAGTACATGGGTATTGGATATTTTAATAGCTTGCTAATGGATACATATTGCGATACATCATAATTGTTTGCTCAAGGCACCTCTGGCTAAGGCATCAATACGGTGAGAATACAAATCCATAAAATGCATAACAGGGTCACCAAACACCACGCCTCGGAGTTCAGGGTCTGTAATACCACAAGCATCCACATTTTCCCGCGGAGGCAGGGCAGGTGGACCACCAGGGACTTGCGGCCCCAGAACCACAGGACGACCACTCCATTGATCTCGGGGGCGAAGAAGGACAAGTCGACCAGCGAGTGAGAGATCAGATGAGGGGATTCTCCAATGGACAGGAGCGGATCTCTTCTTCCTATCATAAATAGCTAGTAGTGACCCCGGTGCAGGCGAAACATACAGATCTAGCAATGAGAGAAAGTAGCCTTTGTCCGCACGGGAAACCGGGTCACCTTCGTTGATAAAAGCGAAGAATATAGACTTTGATCTCCGGGCAGTAGGAGAGAGCTGTAACGGACGGAGAGATATGGGCGGAGCACCAAATGTAACACAGTGGATGTGCTTGAAGCAGCCACGGAGATGAGTAAGTTCGGATTGCACGGCTACCGATTCCGAAAGGAGATGTAGATATAGAAGACTGGCCACGGCGCCGCCGGCGGAGTGACCGGTGAAGACTAGAGAATAGGACATGCGTGAAGGGTCTTCTTCAAGAAGACTACGTAGTCGGGCTGCAACGGGGGCAACCATTTTTCGGGCCACGGATAAGAATCCAGAGTGACAGCAGTTGGATGGGTCATCTAGAAAGCCGGTGGGAGAGGTCGGTGCTGTGTGAACGTTCACGGCCCAGTCTAGGAAACTCTGCGTGCCACGGATGGCGAAGACGATCGTGTTCATGTCGTCGAGGGGTAGTGACTTTACTACCATGGCTTTGGTACCCTGTAGCCAATCTGAGCTCACGTATGAATGCCGTTCACGACCTGAAGGTTTGTCGTATACGCGGCGCGAGTACTTGGCAGCAAGCTGGAGGAGGGGATATGTTGGAGGATAGCTTCACTTAAGATCAGCAAGTTGGGCTAAATAGTATCTGAACGGGAGGTGGTCTTACAATTTTAGTGGAGTTAAGTGAGGTGGTAACCGCGAATTGGCATATAGATATACCTTGGAGAAGTAATCTACAGATCCTGTTGATTTCTTCTCTTTTCGCTGTGATCGGCGATCTTTCTTCTCGTCTGACTGGGAAGGAATCCTACATGCAGCAACTATTCTCACTAATGAGTATCATTCGGTAATACGAATCGGAACTAGACTTACTGAGTTCATTTTCTCTCCCACAAAAAGATCCCAAGTCGATCGAGGTAATGACTTGATCTAATAACCGTGATGTAGCCTCTTTGACATTTGCACCACCACCCAAACTCTGGCGAACCAAATTCTCGAGATCGAGGATCGTGGAATTAGTCTTGTCGACTGTATGCGATACTAAGCTGGTCATGGATTGGTTCAGATTCGTACATGACGTCCATTTCGAGGGTTTCCTTGGTTGAGAGTTCCATGATGCACTGCTTAGAGCAATTCCTGGGGAAGGATAGAGTGGCTGTGGTGCCGGTTGAGGTTGTAGATGAACCGTAGACATTGCCATGCCTGGATTATATGGGACTGTAGACTGAAACGTGTTGACTGAATATGCCCCCGCTGGCAACGCATACGGATGAACATAGTTGTGTGGTACCCCTATTGTACTATGTTGTTGATTCGGACGTGGTGGTTTTGGCGGAGGTTTTGGAGATGACGATCTCTTTGAGCGATTTGAACGGCCAAAGGCCATGGTGTGTATCCCAATTCAATGTGTAGAATACGGGTGCACGGATTCATCAATCAAATCTAAAGAGCCCCAGCCCTTGTATATCGTACATGGAGGTAAGCAAAAAGAAAAAAAAAAAAAAAAAAAAAAAAAACAAGTTATGCAGGTTCTTTGCGTCAAACGCGCTGATTTGTAGGGAACACTGCCATCATGTGGATGTTCGCCTCTGTGGCCGTCGATAGGCCCTTATACGAGCACAGCCCCAGGGCGCCTCTACAACAAATGCGATTGGTCACATGTGAAGAAAAGCTTCGATTTCAGCTGACCCTATCATTTCGTTTCTCGACAAATTTCGTACAACAAAATCAAACCTCTGCAACTACGAAGTATGGGAAGGCTTCAATGAAGCCAAGACAAATACAACAATCTACGCCGAAAGTGAGAAATGACATCGGCTTGAGTCGCATTGTTAGACCAATGTCCTGTTTGAGAGCATATTCTCGAGGATATGTCGAGCTCACCAAGTTGCTGATCGGTTAGTAACATCAGAGTCCCTCCAGGGCGTGTATTAACGGAGTCATAAACTATGGCTTTTTCATAGTTGAATCGCCTAGATGGTATGTATATATGAGTCCCTCCAATTGCCTCATTCGTCACACGTACAAACAAGCCTGATGACGGAAGTGTTTTCCAGGTGGAAGGCCACACAGATTCAATGATACCAGTCAAAGTAACGAACGAGTGACTATATTTCCAGATAGTCGTTGACTAATCAGTTCACAACACCTCCAGGGCTGGGCGCCATCCACAACCCACAGTTGGGCATTGCCAGTTGGATTCATGCAGCAGGGAGCAGAGGGAAACGCGTCTTGTATTTTCGTCTCTTACCTCTTAGAGGTAGTTGTATGTAAAAAAGGGGTATAAAAATCGGTCTAGCCATAAGAACATAACATTCACCACATAATGACTCATTCAGTCATTGTGTCTCGTGAATAATCAGAATGGAAAAGAAATAAGAGAGAAGGTATGTGGGTCAAGAAAGAGAGGAAAATGGAGGATCATGGAGGCGAAAAAAAGAAGGGAAAAAGAAGGGAAAAAGAAGGGAAAAAGAAGGGAAAAAGAAGGGAAAAAGAAAGGAAAAAAGAAGGGAAAAGAGAATAATATACGGGACATCAACGCACATGGGAGACCGGCTCTATGGTACTTCTTTGTCGCCTCGTTTCAGACCACCAGGCACATCGATAGCATCACGCACCCAATCCATAGCAGCAATCTCATCAAGGGTCTTGCGCTTCGTGTTGCGCTTGAGAAGACCTTCCACGCAGTCACGAGCTCCCTCAAGTCCTTTGCCCTTCTCGGGGTCCCATTCCTCATCCTCGTCGGCATATCTATACCAAGCCCATTCACAACGTGCGATACGATGTGGAGTCCGGGCACGAAGTTTGGCAGGATCTCCGCGAGTGCCAGGGAGAACATCAAATGGTAACCGATTCTCCATGATGGCATAGAGTAGAACACCAAGCGCCCAAGCGTCAGTGGCGCGGCCATCGTAGGCCTGACCCATTAGAATCTCGGGGGCTGCGTAGTCTTCGCTACCACACCGGGTCTGCAGGAGAGGGCTCTCAGGAGGTTCGGGGATACGTCGTGACAGACCGAGATCACTGAGGGTGACCACGGCACGGTCGTAGGTACGCCAATCTTGCACGTCATCCATAACATGAGCAGGCATGGTAAGCAGAACATCTGGACAGATGGTTAGTATAATGTGCGCAAATTTTTGGCAAATTCTGACTCACTTTCTAACTTGATATCCCGGTGAACGATGTAATGAGCATGCAGATAACGCACAGCATCAACCAATTCGGCAAAAATGCGTCGGATCAACTCCGATGACATGCGAGGAGCTCCTGATGTGGCATACTCAAACAAATCTCCACCAGGGCAATAGTCCAAAACTAACAAAGCACGCTTTTCATCACTGCCGAATGCTTTTAGCTGGACGAGTGACGGATGATTGACCGACTTCAAGATTTCTACTTCGCGCTTGAGTGACACCTCCAGTCGGCCCTCATCGGCCCCTCCAGCAGGTCCATGTTCGATGATTTTGACAGCGACTAGCTTTTGGTTGTTGACAAACCCGTGGAAAGAGCTGGCTCCATCACCATCCGGCGACAAAGGCATGTCGGGGATAGGTTCCACGCGTGCTGCCAGACTGACCTGACTGAACGTGCCCTGGCCCAATATCCGGACTTTCTGGTAAATACGTGCCTGCTCTGTGCGGACGGACCGGACAGAATATATCTCCTGGGGTGTGGAGAGAGGGGCAGGGTGACAGATGACAGGTTCATTGTCACTATATCCACCGCCGCTGCTACGAGGCGGGCTAGGGGGACGAACAGTCGGCAACGTGATACCTCGGTGGACAGCGAGATATTGTTCGCGATGAAGTCCATTAGACTTCGAGTCTATACTCGACGAGGAGGCAATGCCAAGCCCGGTGTTCCCTGACACTGCAATCGGACGGGGAGGAACAGAAACCCGGCCGGGTGGCGCATAGTCACTCAGACTGCGGTTCCGGGAATGAGAATACTTCGAGGGCGAGTCGTGACGATTCCGATTGTTCACGGATGACCCTTCCCCCTGGCCATCGATGCCGGTGTATGGTTTGGCGCGCGAACGGGGTGTGGCAGGTGGCCCAAGCATCTGTGACGAATCGCTCGAGCGAAGACTGGAACCGTTGCGCGATGCGATCGATGAGGAACGAGATAATGACGGAACATCAGCCCTCCGCCACGGCGAGGCGCCTCCAATTGGCGACGGCAATGGAGTTATGTCACCCATCGCATTCAATTGGGGCGAGGACATGAAGGATGCCGGCGACAAGGAACCCGCACTGTGTATCGGTGGTGCGAAGAGGGCACGAAGACTCGGGGTACGACGTGGATAACTTCCAGACAAACTAGACGAAGCATAAGGATCGGAGTCTCGCGAACTGGATGGTCGAATACTAGGTAGGTCGGTGCGAATCTGGAGAGACGGCAGTGGCGATTCAGGATTAAGTATGGAAGGTAGGCCGTCTACCGAAAGAGTCCCGTCATTCTCCTCTTTCTTTGTACTTTCATTGTTGCTTGCATCTTGAAACATTGTTGACATGGTCGATAACCCGAAGTCGGATATCAAAATCGAAAAGTTGTTGGGGGAGGGGGATCGGCCGCAAACGGAAGACCGGGAGCGTTGAGTTCTATCCTCCGGGGCGGGTGTGGGGGGGTCAAAGTCACAAGATATAAAAATATAAAACGGCCAAAGATAAGAACCCCCAAGGCTCCCGACCTAAATGGCCTTGGCGTGGGAAGACCCGTTAAGGGTCACCTCTTTATAGAAGATGGGACATGTAAGATTATACGGTAAAGAACAAAAGAAAGCGAGTCAACAGACTATAAAAGAAGGAAAAGTGTCATGACTGGGTGGATGCAACGAAAAGAAAAGAAAACACTAAAAAACACAAAAAAACAGAACAAAAAAAAAACCAGATTTGATCGGGGCTAGTCAGCTGACGATCCTAATATGGTTAGCCTTCCATGTGTCCCCCGCAGTGTTTACTTGAGTTTATACTGCAATTTAATAAGGGAAATATGGAGATATTAGGCAAAATACAAAAATTGGGGTTATATAATTTTATATTCATAGTTACTATATATTGTAAGATAATTAGGTCAATGCAAGTCTGATCTCACATATCTTTTAATACTGTGTTAATACTGTAATCACCCAAAATGTTTGCTCCGAGTGTATTTTGTAGTTCCCGAAAAGGAAGGTGGTATGCCTATCATCTGCACTTTTTCTGTGGGGGCCTAAGGACTCATGTATACATATGTTGTAGATTAGAGCTATCTTGTCCAAACCGAAGATCATTTCTATACTCCCTACTCCGTACATAAGTACACATCCTCTTTCCTACATACTTCAACCCTTGCGGCCCTTGGGATAATTCGGCTGGGTCCGGAAGTGCTTTACCTGCAGTCATGTAGGGGTCAAACGCGTCCTGTACGCCGATACATATACCTAATTTTAGCTCTTACAGTGGCTTGCCTCCAAACCCAAAGTCGATGCACTATGCGATCCTCCGCCTTGGCATGACTATTGAACATATGACGACACTTGGCTTGTCATTTTAGACGTCCGTACTTTTTACACTTCTTAAGGTTGCCCAGTCTTTAACTCAGCAGATACGAACAAGGCAACCCATTCTTCGGAGTACATTCCTGAGGGTTGACGTGGCCCCGGTCCATCTCGTTATAACCCATTCTTCGGATAAATCAGCCCTGACAACTACAACATAGACATACCCCCCTCGAATTGATGTATTATACCACATATGTCACAGTGCCCTTGCCATTCAGCGCCTCTCCCGCAGCCGCAATAGTTTAAGCGAGATTATGCGGGGGATGTTTCAGGGTAAGAATGGCGATCACTGTACCCTTTCTACCATCGAGGCCAAGATAAACTACATAAGGAGCAACCCAATAGGTGGAGACCTTCAAATGAACTTGTCGATCTGTGCCGTGTGCGTCCCAGCGCCGTGCCCATTTGCTGAATAAAGTGGCTGGGAAGGGATCGGCACATACGAATCGCCGAGAACCCGACAGAATCCGGCTAGACCACGGTGGGGCTATATCGTCAAGTTTCAGAGCCAAAAACGATAGAATTCCAATGGATATCAAGTGTATTACAGCCACTCAAGTGTTGGATTTTGGGGCATCCTTCTCATTTGGCAGGTACATTATTTTGCGAACTCGTTATTCTCTAGGTCAGATGGGTGATAACCAGTTTGACTGACAGGTGAACATACACCACATCTTTAATATCAGCAGAAATACGGGTTCGCCCATTTCGATCCATTCAAATGAAGCTATGTATTCGTCCGGTATATGTTGCAAGGCTACAGATTTGGGACATGACGAGGCTGCTGTCCATCTTGTTCAGAAGCATGGCGAACTTGGAGGTCACATCCTCTGGCAGGTTCAAGCGATTCTCATCGCTTCCAATCGGGCACACCTTGTCGCAACATCGTTTAGGGCCTTTGAGCCTACACGATATGTGGTAGAACGGGAACAGCCTCCTTGTAACCTTGAATCCGAGTTTTAGAAACATGATAGGAGGAAGAGATAGGTAGCACTATCGAGACAAGTGTTGCATATAATCTCTTGTGCGAGACGCTGAATCCTGAATGCTGCGCTTGGGCAGTCGGGCATTTAGGCAATTAAAAACAAAACACAAACCCACCCGGATCTCACAATCTGACAGGCATAATCAAAACAATCGAGTTCCTCTTTCATCTCGTTCCTGCGAAAATCCCCCGACGGGTATTCGGGAAAGTGAAAGCCAATTTAATCGCCCAGTCTCCGGTTCAGTCTCTTTCAAAGGTTGTTCTTCAAGTCGGCCTTCGAACCATTCTAAATTATGGCATCTCTTCCCAACTTCGATGATCTCCCACCTGTCAAGGGGATGCCGCAAGGCTGTGCATGGGGTATCTTTGACAAAGACGACAAAAAGGATGTTCTAGGCACTCTGAATCTACTCACCCCAGAGGTTGTCAAGGATGCTGTCGGGGAGGTTCGCCAAGGCGTGTCTATATCTCTGAAGTGAAATGCCCTTCACTTTGTCCAAGACGTAATCCCTAATACCACTAGTTGGCCTATTGGAAGCATCAAAATCCCAGGATTCTTTCGAACAAGCCTTCGTCATAATGTCGTGGAATTGGAAGACCCAGCATCTGGCAGCCACTTTGGATTTGACGATGAGGTATTCTGCAACTCGTTTGTTCTATTTCTCACCAGAACTAATTAATCCCAGGTCGAGTTCAATACCCAGGCCAGTAGCCAATGGGATAGTTTCGGTGCGTTCAAGAACTCTAGTTTTTGGAATTGCAAAAATGACTTCCAATCCAGCTCACTTCATGCACCTCCCAACCGGCCTCGCCTACAACGGAGCAAAACCAACAGTCGAAGCATTTCAGACCCCCAAATCCGCCCAGCATCTTCCAACACTAGACCGTAAGAAGATCCCAATCAAACTCAAAACTCAGCACTGAAAAAGGCTAACGGAGAAAAACAGACTGGCACCGACGCGGCTGTGTGACAGGGCGAGGTGCACTAATCGACTTCAAGAGTTACGCGCAGAGCCATGGGATAAGCTACGACCAATTCTCCGGTTTCCGGATTGGGACTACCGAGCTAGAGTCAGTGGCTGCCTGGCAGGGGTTAACCTTCCGAGTAGGAGATATCCTCCTCATCCGATTCGGCGTGACAGAGACACTGGGTCAAATGACTGGGGCAGAGCAGGGGGCTGCGATGAGAAGCGGCAGGATGTGTGGGCTAGAGGGAAGTAAGGAAATGGCGCGCTGGCTTTGGGATCGGCATTTTGCCGCTGTTGCTAGTGATAACTTCGCTGTTGAGGCTATGCCGCCTATCGTCGATGGTGTTGAGCAGCCTATCCATGAGCTCGTGTTGCATCAGTGGTGTCTTAGTTTGTTGGGTATTCCGCTTGGTGAGCTTTGGGATTTGAAGGCGCTGGCTCATTCTTGTAGGGCTAGTAGGCAGTATTCTTTCTTGCTGACTTCATCCCCGTTGAATTTCCCTGGTGCTATCGCGAGTCCCCCTAATGCACTAGCTATTTCGTGAGGAAGGGGACATTGTTGCAAAGTATTAACTTGAATGGGCGTCAGTTTTTGCAGTTTAGTGCAAATGAACTTTCCGGTAACTTTGGAGAGATCTGAGATGAAAGTTCATATCTGGGGAAAGGGTTCAGTATCCACTTGCTCCACACGGGCATATGGCTTGGCGTCTTGTTCTGTGGGCCCCGAATATTGTACATGGGAATAAGATCATGAGCATTGGGTATAGTTCTATTTATATTCAAACAAGCATGATGTCAAAGTCAGCTTCCCTTGCAATATCCTGCCACTGTATATCGACATGGGATCCAGCCACTGCCCGTCGGTTCCACAGAGTTTGAACGATCTCACTTAATGCATTGATATTCTGGATCCCGTGCCGACTTTTACGGGCAAAAAATGCCAACATGCGATCTTGCAGATCAGGCCGCTCGCAATCAGCCGCAACCACAAAACCCGCCCAGTTATACGGATGGCCACCATTGTTACGCGTGAGCGCATCGACGGATTCCAGCTCGTGAATTGCTTTCTCAATTAGATCTTGGACATCGCTCAATCTTGCACCGCGTAAGCTGCGGCGGAAGTATGTGATCATCGCATAGTAGAATGAGTTAAGAGCGTGCTGGACGATGATCGAACCCGGGGCGTCTGGGTTTGACGGCGACGGAAAGTTCAAATAGATCTGGAGTTCGAGCTGGTCTAGTTCCTCAATGGACAGCTGTGTCCGAGATTCAACCAGTGTGGTAATTTGAGCAAGGCATTGGATAAGTGGTGTTGTAATTCCATGCGATTGCTCTAGGTAGTGATGGGAATCGGAGGGGCCATTGAGGAGCGGCATGAGCCGTTTGGGCAGAGGTAGACAGCACATGGACGAAAGAGACAAGTAACTTTGGATCATCTTAGCAGATATCGGACTTCGGATCCAGTCGCCATGTACCTCATTCTCTAGGAGACGAAGGCATCCAGCAACATGTGCTCTCCATCGGCTGCGGCGACCAGACAAACCTTCAGCTGTAACACAAGCGAGGACTGCAACTAAGGTGGGCTCATCTAGGCAGCGAGCGCGCTGCAGGCTTCCTCGCAGATGATGTAAAGCCAGCTGGTCATGGTGGACGGCGATGGAGTGGTACCGCGAATCGTGGCGAAGGTAAGAAAGGCTAAAGGCGGAAGAGGCACAAATCGCGTGGAAAATTGAGAGATGGATGTTAGACTCTGTTGGGGAGGCATTGAAGCCTTTCAGAGCTAGAGGTAAGAACACTGTCCGGCAGGGATTGTCCGGGGTGTCGATTAGGAGCATATTTCCGCTGAGAAAAACAACCCAGTAGTGGACCAACTCTATCTCTGCTCTTGGGAGACTCAATGGACTCATGGAATCCCAAATGGTAGTCCCACTTCTGTAAATATTTGATACTGGTGTGCTGTAGTCGTTCGGCTCTAACAGCTTATTTTTGGGATTTTCACGATGAATGACATGTGCGACTGCGTTGATAGAGATGTCGTCAACCTGATAATCAGGCTTTGATAATGATGTGCATGATTCCTCACGATTTTCAGATGGGGACGGTGCGGTAGTAGATGATACACCGTCGCATGCTGACCTTGAAGCTGATTCACCATCTCTATCGCCAACTGGTGAATTAATCAAGTCCGAGCTATGCGGTGTGTCTTCCCCATGCTGGGTTCGAAGTGCACCTTCTAAGTTGCGTAGATGAACTGGGTTTGCATCTTGGGTTTCAGGACTTGAAAAAACGGAAAACACCGAGAACGGCCCTCGTTCTTGGCCATAGCCATCCCCTGAACATTCATCCAATTCAACCAGTAGTGCCGTGACAGCAGCAGACGACAACCCATGGTCCACGTCTGGTACTGGGGATCGCAATTTGCGCCGATGAGAGGGTCCACCGGGGATTTTAGACCATCCTAGGCGCAAATCATACCCCTTGCAAGCCCAACCATTCCGCTGGCACCGCCGACAATGAGGGCGTTCCTCGTCACACTTCACTCGACGGTCTCGACAAGTCCAGCATCCAGTGAAGGTTTTGGTGCGTGGTTTAGGAGCTTTCGTATTATTTGATGATATATCTGGCATTGTTAACGTTCTGAGAAGGGTGAAGGCTCTGACGCGGGCGAACCAAAATTATTCCCCATTTGCCGTCGGTAGTAGCCGGTCCCTGATCATCGCCACATGAGCGCGGAAGTTAGCGAATATTTTGCAAATATACAAAAGAATAGCCTAATGTCCTTATGCTAGTAAATGCAAATATGTTTAGGGAGTAGGGGGAGATTTACATAAGAGCTTGGTGTTGACTATATGTTGTACATGGTAGTTAGCCAAATATTTCAGATATATATTAGTGAGCTAACCTTTCTCGGAGAATTTTATATTATATTCTTACTAGCTTGAATTAATCGAAAGCTTGACCCCAAGCATTTTGATATCGAAGAGACCATTACTCAATGCAAGTGAATTCCACATTCCTCCAACTATAGACAGATTTTAGTCCGTGGTTTCCGGATGGGAACGGGGTAGGATATCCTCGCTGGTTTATACATCGAAACTAGTCAGGGGTGGCAAGCTTTCAGATTAGACCATACATGTGTAGGTCATGAAATCAAAAAGCTGAACATCGGAAGCCAGAAGAGAAATGACGGGGTTAGACAATTAGATAAATATAGGAAGACGGCCCGGGTGCTTTAGCTGCCCTCGGGATATTAGCCCGAGAATCACTCTCGCAACTCTTGTGGAATTGGGATCAATCTCCATGCCCATCAATACGGATAGCCTCATTTTCAGCTAAAATGTCAGTAGGAATGTGAACTTCATTGCTTAGAATGATCAGGATGTATAAGAAATTGTCTATTGGAAGTCACTAGCAGCATTAAAATACGTTACTGACAAGACACTTGCGAGTGCCATAGCCAATTAATCGCAGGTATGCAAGAGACTTTTCTATGTACACAGAAGAAATACAAAGTACAAACCCAGTTGCACATCCCATTCCCAACCCACGCATAAATGCGAAACATAATGCTTGAAGCGCCGGAGTGAAGAGACCCGCAGGGGGAAATAAAAAATAGTTGTAATACATCGCAGATGGAAAGACAAAGCGAGGCGGCTAATCGTCAACCGCCAATGTCGTTGAAGGGTGGCGTGGAGGGTATGGAGAGTTGGAGAACCGAAAAGCGGGGGAGTATAAAACAAGCCATGCTAGCAATCTAGAAGAAGGCCTTTCGTGTCACCTGTAGCGTTGAAGTTAGCAAAAGCCATACAGCACATCATGACGATATACATACAGCCCAGGCACCAGCAATGGAAGCCACAATGCCTCCAGAGATCATCATGGGCTTAAGTCCGCGTGTGCTCTTGAAGATCATGCCGCTCAATGCGCCGGCGACGATGCTGTTAGACGCATCGTGCTTGCCTCGCACAACTCCGAGACCCGAGTTGATACCGTTGTAAACCATAGCCACAACACCAGCCGAGTTTCCGAGGAAGGGACCGCGACGGGTAACTGAGTTGAGTACAGCGTTAAGACGAATTTTAGGTGCTGCTGTGGGTGGCGTCTTTTTCAATCCTTCTACAAGTCCCCATGCACCTCCAGTGGCGAGTGCAACGAGATAGGTGGTTCCGGTACCATAACAGAGGTCGTCTGACCATCCACGGGATGGCAACACTGATCGGGAGCCGGGGAGGTTATCAAGGGCAGAGTCATCGAGAGAGAGGTAGTCGAGGGCGTCCTGGTTCAGACCAGCCAGGGGATGGAGGCGAGAGGGATCTGGAATAGCAACCTCGGATAGGAAGGATGTAGCATCTTGCGCGCTCGAAGGGTCGAAGGCATCGGGGCCTTGGTTTTGCTTGCGGCCGCTGAGGGAGTCCCAAATCGACATTGTGAAAAGAGGTATGATAAGATAGAGGATATGAGATAAAATTACAAGGACCTAAAGAGAAGGCAGGGGCGGATGACTGGAAAAGAAGTGATGACCCTGTGTTCGCAGCTCCACTGGCATCGGAACAGCAAAAACTTCGGTCCCGTGACTTCCGACGATCCAGCGGAGAATAGTTTGGCCGAGGATATGCGCTTTACCTGATACGGAATCCCACTTTTATCACTTGGCGGCCTGAGGCATCGCGGGGAGCATAAAAATTAATCGTCGGGGAGATCTTTCGCGCGGACCGTTATCCAAGATACAGAGGCTTGTATAATTGGTGGCTCTGACTGTTGATTCATGTCAGGTGCAACGTGTTGTACCAACTAAAATGGAAGATCTTGCGCAGAAAGTGCAATTGTTCTCGGAGAAAACCCTCCGAGATATCGCCAAAGGCCCATTGGTGAAATTTACACTGACATGCCAAGAGATTGAGTAAGTGAAGTATATGTTCGAATTCATAAGATCCAATTTGTTCTAATATTCCAAAAGAAAGGTGAACCGGGTATGGCAGTCGTTGGTTCATACGCTATCGACAGCATCTATCTCGCAACCTCATTCTGCAGAGGCTTGCAATGCTACCTCTGCTTTTATTGATGCTGCCACAAAGTCAAAATGTGATGCGACCCGACAGTTGATTTTCTCACCAGAAGCATGGCTGTCAATATTCGATATTTGTTTGACTCGATATGAAGACGCCAAACCAAAGCCCATTAAAAAGCTCCTCGCCTCAATCACTGTCATCCTAGCCAAAAGTCACCAAGGAGCGACAAGAGAAGACCTACAAACTGCAATCATTAACGCCCTAACTCCTAGCATTGTGCTTGGAGAGCCCCAAACACGACTCAAGGGGTCCCTAGTGTTTCTGGAGACATTCATTAGAAAGGATGCCCTGTTACCAGGCGAGTTTATCTCCTTAATTCGCCAGTGGCTTTTGAAGAACACAGATAGATGGCCGACCCTGTTCACCAATGATTCTGAAACGCTGTCTCTCGGCGAACCAGGCCCCGCTTTTGACACTGCATCTGGTAGCCTGTCCGATGAATTAGCAGCAAGGATCTTTGTCCTCGGGCTCTTGATCCAAACCAGCAATAGAATCATGGCCGTGGCAGCTGGAAACTTACTCGCAATGTTGCTCCAGAAGATGAAGGCTGAAACCTCTCCGGAAAAGCTGTCAGCCATGTGGGTAATCCCAGTGAGACGCACGGCCTTACAAAACATAGAAACGTTGGAAGATGTGTCCAATAGGCTCCTGCAGCCTCTGTTTACCATTGACCCCCATGGTTTCGAGGTCTTCCTTGACACCCTCCCAGTGAAGAGCCTTCTTAAAGGTGATATGACCGATGCGCCTGAGGCAGAGTATATGGTTCTTTTTGCTGCTTTGCAGATCGGCAAAAAAATCAACTTGGTTCACGAAGATTGTGGGTAGCTCTGTGAATCTAATTCTCTTGGGAATTTACTAACGTGCGCAGATATTTTCAACTTTGGTAAATCCAAAATCGACGAAAACGAGGTGTTGGTCATGAAAAGCGACGTCATTGGCAAATTTCTCCTGCATCGCGAGCCCAATATCCGTCTAGCGGCTCTATCGCTGCTGATCACGGCATTTTCGACGGTAAAGCCATTTACGGTGGGAGCGACGAAGGCTATCCTTCGAGGGCTACCCTCCATGCATGCTGAATCGGACGCACATACTCGAGGAGAGGTTCTGAGTCTGACACGCAAATTCTTTGTTCGTCTGAGAGGCGGCATTGTCAAAGATGAAGATGTTGTCGAAAAGACCGAGAAAACAGTCAACAAGACAGCTCAAGGCCAGGTCAGGAATGAAACCGAAACCACAGAGTTCCTAAAAGCATACCTTAAGTTATTGAGTAATGACTTGCGTCTGGCGGCCTCGTACCCGCGCCACATCACTGCTCTGAAAGCTCTGAAGCTCTTGTTGGACTCCGGTCTTGACCCGCGGATCCAGGCCAATCTTCAAAAATCAGAGATGGAAAATCTTTGGAAAGTCCAGGTCGAAGTGTTTGATCCTCATCTACTCCGGTTGTTGATTGATCTCCTGCTCGATCCGTTTGAGGAAGTTCGGCAAACTTCGCTTTCGATCTTGAGTTTGTGCCCCCGAGAGATTCTCCTCAACGGCTTGCACAACAACACAGACCAGCAATCGGCTGTAGGCATGCGGCTGACAGATGCAATTACCCGAGCGGAAAACCTGGCAAGTAACACGAGCAGAGCTGATCACGCTGATACTGTTGCTCGTCTATACCACATCATCTTTTGCGCAGCCCTGCCAGTCAACTCCGGTCAACCGGCTTCTGATTGGTGGACAACCAAGGCATCAGTTGTTGACACAATTTTGAAAAAGCTTGAGGAACGTCTGCTGGACTCCAAGACCCTTTTCAACTCCGTTATGCGCGAGGCGCCACTTCATGGATATACGTCCGGTCTTAGGTATGTTGTTTTGCTCCGTACATGAGATAAGATGCTAATCGCAATCCTAGGTACATTGTTCTTATGCCGAACTTCCACTCCCTGATATCTGACGAGTCTGGATCCACTGCTTGGCGGTCGGTCCATGACCGCATTGTTGCAATTTGCGATAAGATCTGGCTCGAGGCGAAGCCTTTGCTGTGCATAGACTCTCCCGAAGGTCACTCGGACGAGCCCACGGAGGATTTGGATGTGGGCCCCAAGGACGCCCTCTCTTATTCCTGGAGATCTCTTCGCGAAGCAAGCCTTTTGCTCCATGCCACGCTGATAAACACCAGTTACGGACCAAGCGGCGACCACGGCCTCAATCTGGCGGATTTCGCAAATATTGGAGGCGTGAGCTTCACACAGCTGGCTGAACTCCGTCATAGAGGTGCATTTTCCAACGTATCACAGACATTTGCCACATGCTGTCAACGATGCAGCGCCTCGAAGGATCCGTCAATTCGAGAACTTCCTAGGAGTTGGTATCAGGAAGCTAAATCGACTATTTTTGGCACGGCGTCTCAACTCACTCGTCGGTCCGCTGGCTTGCCTGCATTGGTGACCGGAATTGTTGGCTCCGACCCTGGAACTCCATTCTTCAATGATGCCATTAATGAACTCCATGAAATCTCATCTCTTTCCGTACAGTACGACAAAGAGAGACAGTATTTGGAGCTGCCCCAGGTTCATGCAATGAATTGCCTGAAGGATATCTTCACCAACGCGAAGCTTGGCCCTCATACAGAGCCATTTATCATGAAGGCACTAACGCTGTCCGCTGAACGCCTAGGGTCGCCAATTTGGGCCCTTCGCAATTCAGGCCTGATGCTCTTCCGTGCCCTACTCACAAAAATGTGTCGGGTCATTCCAGGCGCAGGACCTGGCTTTGGAGGAAATTCCGGCTCAGAGCCTGGATCCCGGATAACATTCCCTAAGTACCCTGGTCTGCTTGAACTGCTCTCTGGTCTTCTTACAACGAAGCTGGGTGAAGCAGCAGAGGGCACTGAAATTATCACCGAGCGTGTGTTCCCTGCGCTGGAACTTGTTGGTGACAAAGTCCCTAGCTTGGATGATCCTACTGATGATATGCTGCGAGGATTGGTCTCTGAGCACCTGCGCAGCCCGGTTTGGGGTGTTAGAGAGCATGCAGCTCGTGTATATGCATCATTACTCACTCGAGAACATATTCCGCAAGATTTACGCACCCTTGTTACGCTTCCCTCAGAGATCACCGAGAATCATGTTCATGGCATTGCTTTGTGTGTGCGATATGCTCTTCGCCGGTACTCCTGCACCACCGATGATTTCTGGGCATGTGAGTACACTGGAAAGTCCCCATCAATACTCGAGCTAACCAGTTGGCAGCAAACCTTGATGGCCTTTTCACGACGTTGCGAACTGTATTAGAAGTCCTATTCCGTGTTGGAAAATCGCCAACTGTAGCAGGCGAGCTTGTTGAAATCCTCAATGGCACTCTGGAGCGGGCGATTCAAGCACAGAGCGAAAGTAAGTGGACATCTATTTGAGCAAAAAGAAAAAGCCACGAACTAATCAATCTATAGCTCAAGTTAATTCTTTCATCAACAAGATGTTTGAGGCTCACGACCTCGATGGGATTTTGAGATTTGTGTTTGACGTTTCTCAAGCGGGATGGAACCTCTCAAGCACTGTTAGAGCATCTGCCATAGTTAGAAGAGCGCTTGCTTGGTGCACAACATTGAAATTGCTCATTTCACAGCAGTGGGAGCAGCTCCCAGCGTTCTTCAATGGAGTATCGCAGTTCGACGCAGATGTCGCTCGTTGGGTTTTGGAGCAGCTCCACGAGTCACTTAGTGAAGACGAGAGGTACAGACAGCCGTTGACTGACTTGTATTCGTCTGTGATTTTGGGAGATAGTCGGCCAGATGTGAAAACGATGGCCGCATCCAATCTGGCTTCTATTATGGAGAACTTGATATCATCACAGCTAGATTCTGTGTCAAGTATGGGCCTTCCATGGGATACCATTGCGGATAGCTTCCGCCCCGAAACAGATATCACAACTTGGAACCGAGAGGCAACAGATGCTGAGCTCCGACTTCGAGGCTGTCTACTGGCCATGCGGCTATCTGTTGATCAGACCGCTGCCTCATTCGAAGGAGATGTCCGCAGCTGGGCTATCAAGCTTCGTTCTGCCTTGAGCGAGGAAACGGTGAGTGTTGTCGTGGCATTTTCCCTTCAACAGAGTCATTGAGCTGACTCTCTTTTTTCATTTCCCAGGAATTCACAACCCGTTTTGCTGCAGCCATATCTGTTGCCAGCTTTTCACGGGCTCTTAGATCCCCCGGTTCCCAGCCATGCGTGGATGCGGTGCTGCTAGATATCTACCTGGTCTTGTATGACTTGCTTAATGATGATGACGACGAAATTCGTGATGTGGCAGCATCAGCTGCTTCCTGGGTTTTGTCACACTCGTCCGTTTCCCCTAACGCAGATGTGACCCTGGCGCCTTTGAATGCAAGCACCCTGCTCGCCGACTTCATCATCGATAATTATAAAGATTCCGCATACCTCGGGCAACGAGTTCTTCGATATTTGACTGGCCAAGAGCCAAGGATCAGTGGATCTGACGAATTCAGTCACTTGGTTGCCGTGTCGGACCAGATCAAAGAATATCGCCAAGAGAGCACCGTTCTCTTCGAAGAGGAGAAGCAGAATCTATTTATTGATGATGTGCGTGAGGTTGAGGTTTGGTCGCGTGCTCTGTTGCGGTTGACTCGTTCGACATACACTAAGATCTCCTTGGATGAAACTTCTGCCTGGGCCTATGACGGATTAACATATTTCTGTTCTCTCGTTGGCTCCGAGAAAGAGCCAGATGGACTTCTTGGTTGGGTCTCAAAGCCCGAGATCTTCAACCTGGGTCTCCGTGTTATTGTCATCTCTTCTGCTCTAAGCTCGGAAGTCTTCCAGGTAGACCTGCCGGTGCAGCCAAATGCCTTCCGGACATCGCTTGAATCTTTCTTAAGCGCGGGCAGATTGTCGTCAATCCATGAGGATTGGTTGTCGAAAATTCAGGCTGGACTGGAAATGTGAATGTAATGTCTAGAAAAGATAGAATCCAAGTGCATTAGAATATTGAAATATCCCGAATATACCTCGTTTGCCTTTGCGAGTCTGCTCCTTCCAATTTTCTCACTTTTGCTTTCTCACCTGACATCTCCCAATTAAGGCTTTGGATCACCTCTTGATACTCTTCTTTTCATTCCCTTGCACTTTACATTCTATCATTATTTAACGTGCAGGCACATCTTCAATCCACTTCTCCTGCACACTCTCCATCACCTCAAGCCAATCTTCACTGCTTACACCATGCAGAACAATGTTCTGATTGGGGTGCTTCTGGGGGTAGCATTCTCTATCCCAGTCTTCGCATGGTTGTTCTACCTTTGGTATAAATCACATCTCACCCAGACGCAGCAAGAATGTCAAATCTTCGAGAGAAGAAGCCAGGATCGCGCCCAGGCCAACTATGAGTCCGCGAATGAAGCCCCAAATTACACCATTGGACCCTACTTTACCCCTCGGGGTTGGGTTCGCCCAAAGACCCGAGGATCATCTCATGCCCTGCGTCCGCCACAGTATGTTCACCCTCAGCAGTTGATATCTACTGGTATGCCAGATTCTGACCAATGTGTGCAAGGCTAAACCAAGCGAACAATCAGAGTGCCCAGACGGTGAATCAGCAGCCAAACCTATTATCTAATCGGCAGCAAAGGAAACAACGAGCGTTACAAAACAAACAAAAGCAGCAGGAGCAACAGCCAAGTCAGAATGAGCAGGGGGGCAAGCAGAATCGAAACAACCAGCGAAAACAGAAGAATAAGAACCAAGGCCAGAACAAGCAGAAGTCCCCCACTGCTCAGTTTCCCAAAGCCCAATCACCCAAACCCAAAGGGGGCCATGGCGAGCAACACAATCAGCGGGGGAACACGGAAGGGCAAAATGACCAAAGGAGCAACCATGATGGTGGGACTGGCTGGGGAAATGGTCGAAGCTCATGGGATAATCCACACAATACTAGCCAGAAAGCTAATTATAACAACAACAACTTGGGCGGCAATGTGAACCATGGCCAAGGAGAGCAGAGAAACAGTCGATCACGTTCCCCACGACGAAATTCACGAGACAATCAGGAGAATCACGGCTGGGGTACGAGTGACCATGGTGCACAGCAAAATAGTGATTTACAGAGCCACCATTCCAACGAAGATCACCACCACCCCAACAATGGATGGGGAGATGACTACAAAAGTCAACACAAGGAAAACAAGAGTAACTGGTGTACATCCCCGGAGCCAGAACCAAGAGGACAATCAAGCCCTAATCGTGATTGGGGACATAATGACGATGAGGGGCGCAGAAACCACAGCCGTAACAGCTCCGGCAACTGGGGGCATGCAGAAGAACACCGTGGTGGTGACGATGAATCTTGGAGGAAAGATGCAAATGTGTATGGGGACAAAAAGAAGGGGAAGAGGGAGAAGAAGAAGAAGAAGGAGCGCTGGCAGATTGAATTGGAAGAGAATATGAAGAGAGGTCTTAGTCGAAGCCCCTCACGCGGAGGATCGGATCGAGGATGGGACGCGCGTAGCCGGGCTTCAGGCTGGAAAGAAACACAGGACTGGTGAAGCCAAAGTCCTTTCGTAGATGGGTGAGGAGTTCTCTGGGTATTATGGATTTGTGTTCATCCAGGCATGATATATGTATGCACTTGTATCGACTATTTTCTTTTTCCTGGCTAGTAGAGTTTTCCTATTTAGACTGCCGCTTCAATGAGGGCGCTAAGACTTAGAATAGTCCGAAGAGATGTGAAGGTAGTTTTATCGACTAGCCACCATTGGGGATCTCGGGACCAGTGGTTGATATCGCGTAAAGCCATAAATGACAATGGGTGCTGTATTCCAATCTTAGATTCACAATGTGAATTCAAGTTGTAACCAGTTCCAAATGCAGCCTCCGGTTTATCAGACACAATCCTGCAAGTACAAATCAAATGTCTCTTGGACGGTAGAAATTTCCCCTCTTCAACAACAGTCAACAGCAGATAAAGCTCAGATTAGGGAGCGCCCAAAACAAACCAGGATGGGAACGATAGGTGTGAAGTTACGAGTCGTAGCTGGGTTTATACATTTGAACTACACGTTAAGCACCCTTGAGTATACTGAACACTACACAGAGTCTATGATCTAGGATATAGGTTAAGGTAGCCTAGAGGATGGCAAATGAGCCATTCTAACACTGGCAACTATCTAGATGACTAGTGTTACGTGTAAAAGAGAGATAGGGGTGAAAACACCCCCTATCCATGTATTCCGTGGGATCTGTCAGTGACTACTGAACTCCAAGAGTTCAGTTACCAACTTATCAGGACTCGCACGAGAACTGGCAGTTTGATTTGTATTCGGACCTTCGAAGGCCTCAAGAACTTGGTGTTGATGTCTTTCGAGGACCACCCTCTGCGCTGGCTCGGTGGGCTACGGTGAGACAGGGAGGATTGGGGAGAGGAAGAAGAGAAGAGGAAGAAAGGTGGGAGGAATCCTTTTTTAGTCCCACGTACCTTCCTAAAATGGACTCTCCCCTGCACCTTCCTGAATTGTTCAATGTCACATGATAACTTCAAAGACATAAATTTCATGTGACCATAAACCCTTTAATTGGATTCTATTCGAAGTAACTAGTTATTGCCCTAGAACTAACACCATTATGCCTCATTCCTTCTCCATTGTGTATATGATGTATACTGAACGATACACGGCAGATATACCAGCTCCTCATGTGCGAGCACCCATTCCCCGTCCCTTCCGACAATTATGAGTACATGATGAAAATTGTTGGGTTTGTGGAAGACTTACCTGTTGGGTGGGAGTCAAAACTGGAAGAGCTTCGATTTATTTCTGAGCAGAATGCTACACTGAAGAAAGTCCGTGTCACAGACTACGGAAGCGCAGAGAAACCAAAGCCTACCGATTGCACTCGATCAGATGCTTTGGCACTGGCAGATGTGGTAGCTCCAGCTGAAGAAGGTCCAGCAGCGGAAATGCTCCTACCCAGAGACGAGACACCAACCCTGTGTCGCGGCAAGGAGCACCTTCCGCAATAGCCTCATCACCGCGTCTAAGGGAAGCTTTTGTCAAGAAAGCCAACAATCCGATGCTGGCTCCGTTGCTGTCGATCATGGAAGTTTTCCTGCTGTTTCGGCCATCTGATCGATCATCACTCGTTACGGTAACAAAGTTAGAAGAGTCGGTGTTATTTGAATCGTTAGACGAGCACCTCTCCCTGGCAGTTGATGCAGCAGAGGGCGAAGAGGAGTTTCCAAACAACGATGCACTATCGCATCTTCAGCTAACCGGGGTTCAGGAGGCCGATGAACAGGCAGGACTAGAGGCTCCAGCAAGGACATCCGAGTCCCTTGTCGGTCATGAATCAGAGCCGGCGCAAGAGTTGGAAGTTTGTCAAAACAACGAAAAATCCCAATTTGCGGCTCAAACAGGGACATCGGACCATCCGACCAATCCTCTCGAACCTCAGCCAGTCTCGCCTGAGATCTCTGAGAATCTTGAGCAAGAACAGTTAGAGGTAGCGGATGGGGCAAAGGACCCACTACACGTCCAGGGAGAACAGCAGCCGGATGTGTCAGATATCTGTCACGTCGTCGAGGAATCCCAGTCGGAGGTGCAAAGCGGGACACCTGAACTGCAGACATCTGACCTGCAGAACGATCAGCATGACCGTAAGCCAGCCCCGCCTGAAATCGTGAGTGGCCTGGAACAAGATCAGCTAAAAGGACTGGATAGGACACCAGACTTAGTCGACATCCAGGAAGAACAGCAGCCGGAGATATCGGAGATTCCCGAGGGTTCCAACTCTTCACAGCTAGAGATCATGGAGGATTTAGCGGCAGCCTCAGAGGACGGGAGAGAACAGAAACCCGGACGTCGGAAGAGACTGCGTTCACATTTAGGAGAATTGTTGAATCGGAGCTGGAAGCCATGGAAGAGGCGTCGGAAGCCTTAGGGGATCTTATACATCAACATATGAAGGCGAAGGGGAACAACCGAGACGAATATTCGTATTAGATTGAAACAGGGCGTGTCGGTTGATGTGTATGGACTGGAGTACATGATTTTTGTTTTTACCTATGTGCTTTCATTCTTGTGATTTGAATCCATTTTCAGTACCGAGCAATACATGAGTGAGTAACAGAATTTTCTAGATCAAGAACCTAGTTGGTTTTCGTGAACTATTTATTTTATACTTGTAATATTAGCGCAGGCTTTCTCCAACTTACTATGCCCAAATCTAGTAGAATTCTGTTCGCTTCCGCCGAAAAAGATGTATGTATTGGCAAGGTAAATCACAATTTACAAACACAAATGATCAATGTACCGAGAGTAACAAATTATATATCCAGGGCGTGTACACCGCAAAAATGTAGACGATGAGCTTTGGACAGAAAGGGTAACGCGTATAAGCAATGGGGTCGCAAGAGGTGAATGAAAGCAGGTCTATCGATGCGAAAGAGACGAAAATGCGGCTGTTTCAAGTATGTCGGCAGGCAAGGCCGCAGAAATGTGCATAATTCGAGATCCATTCTCGAAAGAAAAGGGATGAGTTGATCGAGATCATTTTGGATGTCTATAGTGGCGGAGCAGGGTAAAGTCGAGAACGGATAGAGAAATTAATGACGTGCGAAGGTGAGATCATCCCTGAGCGACGGGCCATCCATCAACATATTTGAGAGGATTGAATCCAAGGAAAGCGTCCTGTAGTTGCATGTGTTAGATCAGATCTTGATGACGTTTGTGTGTGGTGCAAGGGATAACAAAGAAGGATCGACAGGGGTGCATGAAGGTTGGCAATAGTTAAGTATGAGCTCACCTGGAATGCAAGACCAACTGTCGTGTTCACTGCGGTGAGGTCAGTATGAAGGTGAAAGAAAGGATATTTGAGGTAAACGCACAGTAGTGGTAGTAGAGTACATCGGTATCGCCGTCGCGTATGACAGATTGCCCACCTGGGGCATAAGTCTCTCCGTTCGAACCGTAGATAAGTTCACCGCCGCCTTTGACAAGGTCCGTACCAGCCTTGTCTGTGAATGGCCCACGGGGACTGTGAGAGCGTCCAACGCGGATGGAATATCTGGAGTACATAAGTATAGAGCAGTAAGTCACTGGATCACCAAGACTTACTCTTGGCCAGCGGGTGGCAGGTTATCTTCATTGAGATTGCAGCAGAAACCATGGCTGAACCAGAGATAGTACCATCCATCATTGTAGGAGATATAAGCACCCTCAATGGCATGAGGACCGCTCGGGTCACCGCAGATATTGTTGGCCATGCGATTCGGCGAGCCGAGGGATTCAGGCTCCCACGCCAGTTGACGTTCATCTGGTTTGGTAGTGCTGGCTGGGGAAAGAAGGTCCTTGCTCAGTGGAATTTGGAATATTCCTTTCCAGTAGCTTCCAAAAGTTAAATAAGCATGTCCATCGGGAGTGACCAATGTGCTCGGGTCTATTGCATTTGAGACAGTGTAAGGATAGATATCTGATCCATTGCCCGTGCCTGTTTGGATGACAACGCCATGGTCATACCAGTTCCCCGGGCCGGGAGAGTTGGAGGTGGCCACGCCAATAGCACTATCACGGCAGCCGGCCTTGCTAACACTATAATAGCAATAGTATGTGCCGTCCACGGCGATAACGTCTGGGGCCCAGGGAGCGGCTCGATCACCCTTCGGGATTACACTCTTGGCATCTAGCACACTGCCAACACGCTTCCATGGGCCAGCCATACTCGGCGCAGTGTGGATGAAAATGTGTTCGCCAACATGATAGAGATAATATTCATCACCTACACGCAGAATAGTAGGATCATGTGTATGTTGCTGTGTTTGACGAGGAGGAGGGAAGCGGCTTATAGCCTGGTCATTCCCCAGATCTTGCAACTTCTGACCATGTTCAAAGGTCTGGTCTCTTTTGATACCCAGGCCAAGACAGACGGAGAAGAAGCATATTAAGGCAAGCAAAGGAAGCATCTTAACCCAGCGTCGAGGGAATCTTTTCCAGAAAAATCGAGAAGACCGAAGTTGAAATTCATTGTGATAGCCAGGCGGCGATATCGACCGTGATAAGTGACTGGCCCTGGCGATCATCTTGATTGATCCAGGCACTCATCGTTTTCAGTTGACGCACGGCGTTGCCACCCTGGTAGGGTGGAGTTAATGATGCAGACAGGGAGGGAAGGAATTGCAAGGCAGTCTGATCAATAGAGGCCCACAATTGGATATGCCTGCAAGGTTTCGGAATGCCGAGAAAAAGTAGTTGGTTGTTCTGCAGAAGAACAGATCAATCGTTTTGCCTTGGCGCGATGGGAGCGGAAGGATTCACGGAAGGATTCGTGGCACAAAGGCCGAATGTCAGACCAGGTTATTGTGCAATTGACTGAGATAATCACACAATATCATCTTTACAAGTCACCTAGTGAATTAGCAAGGGAGATGACTTTAGGAGGTTGATCGGTTGCAGTGTCGATCTTCCTCTTAGCTCACGGGAAGTGATGGGTCTCGAGTTCGGAATGTGCCTATCAAAAATGAAAACGGATACATAAAACCCAGGAGCATATCCTTTCCTTGTAGACTTTTCAAAATAGAAAAATAGGAGTCGGTAGGGTTACAGGTACAAAGGGACACAGGTAAGACAAATTCCCCTTCAGGGCGACATGTACTACTTTCTATACAGCCAGAATGGCCGAGACTCAATTCAATATTTCAGAGTTGCATTTCCAGCTAAAGAGTAGGGCCAAGTAAAAAGTAAAAGAAAAGGCAAAAGATATCCTCCTAACACCAGCGCCGAGCTCCAGGCTGAAGGAAATATCTATCGAGCCACGATCTTGTCTACTTCATCTTTGGCTTCAGTCCATGTCTCCAGATTCTTCCGTGCCCAGTCCAAGTGACAACGAGCATATGCGACCTAGAATATAATTAGTCATACTCTTAAAATTGTGATGTGGCGCCATGCATACCATGTACCGTCGCAGATCGGCTTCTTTGTCCTTCTGGAAACGCTTGAGGTCATGCAGCACGCCCGCGCTCGCATCCTTGACGTCCTTTTCGGATACCTCTAACGCCTGCTCCAACTAAAATTGAAATTAGTTTTGAAATAATCTAAGAACTCTACTCCACATACCTGGATCAGACTCTCTTTAGTCTTTCCAATTTGGTCCCGTCGTGTTCGTTCGGGATCTACGTCCGCGAATCCATGGATAGCGTGGCTGATGCGACCGAATATTTTGTTCGCTACGAAAGTCCCGCTGGATGACTTTCGATGAGCGGGGGAACCTGAGACTGATGAATCAGACTTCTTGAGTCCTCCGCTCTGCGACCCAGGTGGAGGACTGGTGGAATCGTCATGAGTCGGTCTGGGGCCTGAGTCAGCTGACATAGCGGAATTGCCCGCTTCGCTAGCGGATGAGGTCGACAAAGAACGAGGTTTCGTTCCTCCGGATTGAGGACTGGTGCGGTTGAGATACTGCTCAATGCGCTTGGCCTCGAGTTCACTGCGCTCAAGGGAGTCTAGTAAGGTTTTTTTCTTCGACAATTCATCGCGAGTCATTTCTTGCTGTACCCGTTTGAGCACTCTGTATCGTAGCACCCCTCGAACAACACTAGCAAACTGGGCGCTCTCCCTCATAGGTTCCGCAAAACTTGCGCTCAAAGCCGAGGATAGTTCCTCGGTTTCAATGTAAGAAGTATCCGCAGCCTGGCCGATCCGCTCAATAGCAGCAGCCACTGTCGGTGACTGCTCTGAAAGAGAAAATCCGTTGTAACGCGCTCCCAACTCCATGAGGTCCGCTGAGAGCCCTGACAAATGCGAAAGAGTTCGTCGATTAACTTTTTCAATATTGCCCTGCAAGAGGAGTTCTAGTTCCCGCGTAGACGCTTCGAAATTAATAAAGTAAGGGTCTAGTTCTTGCTCGCTAAGCTTGCGTGATTCAGGAGGGAACCGCCCCAGGATCTCGGGTCCTGGGAACGACGGCGCCTCTGTCTCACTCGGTGATGTGGGCGCTGCTGCGTTTCCGCTAGCTGTAGTAATCCCACCAGTGGGCTTAAGCTTTGCAGATGTAGATGGAATTGGGAGCCAGCCATGGGCTGGGGTAGGGTTTGCGGGATCAAGAGGTGGCGCTTTGAGGTTATTTTTTGGGACCGATGATGCAGGATGGGAGCTTAAAACCTCGCTCTGAACAAACGTTAGTAAATAAACCCATGGCGCGGAACACCAAGCTCGAACACACCCAGCTGACGTTGGGATCAAGGAATCTCCACCACACTCCATCCTCGCGGACCTCCTTCATACGCCTGCAGCGGTTGAGGAAAACACTTAGCATGCGCTTTCGGAGATCTATAATGGCTGCATCATCTTTGGCCCTGGTGGGTTTGGCTGCATAGTCCGCCATGCTATGTTTCTCGGGAATCGGCGGAATGACCAAGGTGGGATGCAAATTCACAAGGGTTTGTCGCAATGATGCAAACTCAGAATATCGACGGCGCACTTCCAGGTCCTATCAAAACTCAGCATTGTACAGTGCTCCGCCGGGCACAATTCTCATACCGCAGTCCGAATAGTGTAAACAATAAAGCCCCCGCCGCCCTCATGATTTTTCCCGGCATCGGTTATCAAGATTGGCATCTCGGGGTTCTCATAAAGAAGCTGCTCAATCCGGCTGTCATAGACGCTTTTCCGGGGGTATTGATCACTGGCGGCACCATACTCGGCCTCATCCTCGGGATCGCTGAGGTCTTCGGGATGGGTGATGTAATCGGGAGGCTCGCTATTGGAGTCGCGGCTTGATGGACGGGTTGAGTCATGTTCGTAGATAGCTAGCTTGCGTGAGATACTGATCCACAGGCAGAAGGGTTAGGATGGGAGCCGAGCGGAGAGCTTACGAGGTGACAGTGCGGCTGAATGGAGGGAGTCAGACAGGCCAGACTGATGTTGGTCAAAGGCCCCGTAGGGATTGTTGTCTTCATCGTTCCACATTATGAAGGTAGACTTTGATAAGGTCAACTATCCACGGAACCTGAGTTGGAGAAGCTGTGCCTGGGGATCTGCGGGGGGGAAGTCGTGGTGTGGCTGGTGCAGGGCGGTGTTCACGATTACGTCATGAGCGGCTTGAACTAACTTAGTTACTATGAATAGAATAGTTATGGACAAGATATACTGTAGAAGGACGGCTGAGAAAAATTCAAGTGAGTTAATAGATATTTATTGTCCCAGAATATAATGATCACCATAGTTCCAGCTTGAGTCACAGGTTTCTCATCGATCGCAACGTCACCGAATGGTGATCCAAGAGCGGCCGATGTATATACTGAGGTAGCCGCAGACCGCATTAAGATATTTTTCACATAGAAAGCCAGTTCAGCTTTTCTACGAAGCAAGGAAATTACTCAACACAACAAGCAATTCTGGAAAGCCTTTATTTGAGAGTGACGAGGTAATAAACAGCCGATGTATCGTCAAGGTTGCATGTATGGCCAAGGGGACAAAGTAAAGAGATCCGAATACAAACATTTGCAAGGCCTAGAACTCATGACCGGTTTCATATCTTAAAGTCTCACATTGTGTTCCGCCATAGTCTGAGCAAGCATCGGAATCTGCAAAGCTTTCTCCTGTCGTCAAATGACCCTCACATCTCATACTTCGGGGTTTCTGTGCCCAGTGTCTCAGTTTCCATCGGCACCCGGAGAGCCAGCAGCATCGCGTGGGTTTCGTCGCACCCGCTCTGCAACACGCATAGCTGCAAAGGCCGGCTCCATTCCATTGAATGAGCTCTGAGCACGTCGTAGAGTTGGCTTGGGCGGCAGGGCCGGAGACTGGGGAGATTGCGGAACAGAGAGCGAGTGAATCCGGCGACTGGACTCATCGGCGAAGAAGGTAGGGCTGTTGTCAAAGCCAAAGCGGTTCAAGCCATGAGTAGCCTCGCTGATGGTGGATGAACGGTTCACGCGCTGAGTTCGCAGCTCATGATGGCCGGGAAGAGTGACGTTAGCTCGGTTCTGGCGGCGTTGACGTAAATTGAGAGGAAATTCATTGTTGACGGAGCCACTGGCGGAAGTGAGAGCGACAGATTCAAGGTCGCCTGTATGGAGGTGGGGGTCAACTGGTTTATCCGAAGTGTCGCTGCCAGGTCCTGGCATAAAGCTGGGAACAGTGGTGCGGGTGATGCCGAGTCCACGATGAGCATTTGCAGAAATTGAGTTGCGAAGAGAGACGTGGGGCGAATCGGGGGAATGCAGGCTGGGACCGAGATCAAGAACACTGATCTCACTTTCGCTCAGGACTGCAGCACGGGGTCGCATGGAGGTTCGGATCGAGTTTGGGACGGTGGGGCCAGGTTCTCCTAAACTTTCAGCTGAGAAAGGAGTTGCGCGTTGAGGAGGCACCTCATCAGTTGGATGAGACTTGGAATCCAGGGACCCCATTATCTTGAGACGCAAGGCTTCAAGCCTCAGAAGGTCGAGTTGGTCACCAGCACTTTGGAACTCCAAATGTCTATCCTCGTGCTCGGAATTGATCTTTGCAATCATCAAGCGGGCCGTGGCAGAGCTGACATTGATGGAATTTGGACACAGTATAGAGATATTAGGATTGAGTTCGTGCTCATGTTCGACGACTCCCCGACGTTTCGGAGAAGGTGCAGTGCGTCTCATCTTGGAATTGGTGCGTGGATGTATGCCAGTTAGGTGATAACGAGGAGGGAAGCGTGGCAATTGGAATGTAATTGTTTGAAGAGGATAAATCACACGCACCCAGCCCTAATACGGAAGGAGCGGCTCTGGCAGCTTCAGTACCTTAGGCTCCAAGGCCATAAAGCCACTTAACTTCCTTTTCTCTATGTATATAACCATATGATATGTTCATACTACCCTTTCAATAACCATCACAGCCAAGACTAGATGACTTGCGTTGGATACCACTTATATGCGTGAGTCAATATAGGACGCTTAAAGCCCTAAGATTCAGTATAACTGACGTTAAAGATGTTATATATGGTGAAAACTCTTCCATTGGCTTTACAAGTCCTTTGTACGACGTATGGAGTTTCACTACAAACATCCATAGGCTTGAACAACCATGGAAACTGCTAGCAATATACTACGCACAATTGCTATAGAGCAAACCAATGTCCAGAGTCTTGTATAGTGCTACATGTGGTGTTGATAAAGGAAGACTGGATAAGTTATACTATGTAGATGAGCCTTGGATGTATTGCCTCGTACTGTAATTTGCTTGTGAAGCAAGTCGTAGTAACCCTAAAACAACTATGTTACATTTGTACATTTATGATTAACTTAAAGCTCTTAGAGAGGCATTTCCTTTTAGATATTTTGTCTCCCTTGTTGGTTCTATAGGTAGGTAAACGGAAAAGGCGGAAAATGCATATGCGCAGAAGAATTTTCTATGCATAAAATAACCTACATAGCAGGGCTTAGGATCAATAATCATGTTGAAAGTGAGTAACTCTAGACTAATATTTAAAGAATGCTCATGCAATTATTGCTCTCCGGGCAACTAAAGTTGATAAGAATTAAGTCCAACATTGCACAGATCGTGTGCTGATAGTTAAGTGATGAAGTAGTGAGATAGAGAACTCCTACTTTCTCTCTGGCTTCACTAGAAACTTCTTTCACCTTGGTCTAAGTTTGGCCCTACTCTTACTTCGCTTTGAGAATCTGATTGAAAGTAAAACAAGAAATCATTTTTTTATTTTGTATGGGCCACCAGCCCCATCCCCCCTCCCCCCATCCACCTCTCCCCTTTTTTTTTGTTTTTTTTTTTGTTTTCTTTTTTTCATATCATTCATGGGTCCGAGGGCATCACTTCCTCGGACCCTACACGTAGCTCCACAACTGGGAGATCATCGGAGGAATCCTCCCCCTCACCCCCAGAAGTGAGACCAAACTGAAACGGAGGGTCGATGTCCATGCCATCACCCCATGGACATCGACCCTCAAAGAGGCCATCCTCGGCGGCAGCGGCAGCATTACCACTGGAAATCTGTGACATGTCGTGAGCGGCGTCGAACGACCAAGAGGGTTCCGTGAGCTTGTTGAAGGAGTCGACCTGCGATCCCCCATCTTCGTGCTCTAGGCCGAATTTCTTACCTTCGCTGCCCCCGTCCTCCGAGCCCGAGGTACTCTCCTCGGCAGAAGAGTACAGATCATTGCCGAGGGAGTCTTGCCCCCGGCTGACTCGGGGTGCCAACCCCCCGGCCAAGGCAGACAACCCCTTGCGGGGGGCGCTGCCAAGGATACGACCGCCGTCGTCTGAAGGTGATTGGGAACCACCAGGGCTGCGGGAACCGGAGGCACTGCCAGACACACTTCCTGAGTCGTTCCGATAGCCTTCAACCAGCTCCCGCAGCTCTTGGTTTCCCAATGCACGATCAGAGCGACGGCGGTAGAACAGGAGGTAGGCACCCGCCGTGATCATGGACTGCATGTTGGTGACAGTCTTCGCAGAGGTATCTTAGATTCAAGTCAGTAAAATATCTTCCAATCAGCATATCCAAGGGGCATCGAACCGTTGCAATAGACCCAAGCACCAGACACAAAGTCCTTGATGTAGGCAGTGTAATGACCACCACCCATTCCACCTATGTGGTTGTCGACAGCAATCAAATCGTAGACTGCACTCTTTCCATCGGTGGGGCCTTGCACTCGATGGCTCAGATCCAGTCCCTCGAAGGGGAAGTTGATGACAGTGCTGATTTTGTGTCCGTCTCTGCCGCGGAATTGGCTAAACCGCTTGAGCTGAACGACCATAATATCCGGAGTTCTCCACAACTCAAACTTCTTGGTGGCCGAAACGTGGGTCTTGCACTGGGGACAGAACCAGCTATCTGCCCGAGAAAGAATTTCCTCTTTGCTGAACTCGTCCAGACATTGGTCGAGAGTAACATCTGATTGCTTTGGCTTTTTCTGGCTTGCCACCATGGAGTGATCAAATACATTCTTGATGCTTAGGTAGGTAGGGCGACCACGGAGCTCCTCAGGGTCACGTGGCTTACCGCCGAAAAGGGAATCAAAGGCATCGGGAGTCCAGTCAAGGAGGACGGCATCGCCTTGGTGAAGAAGCGATGCTGCTTGGTCTGATTCATCTGCATCGAGGTCATCATCGACGTTGTCATCTACAGAGCTTTCGGATGAAGCATCAGATCCCTGGCGAAGGTTAATAGGCTGATCCGAACGGACAAGATGGAACAAACGAACCTTCGTAGAACTAGGAGATGCGATGCGAGAGGAAAGGAGGGGGTATTTTTTGAGTGGGAGAATATTGCGTCCGTCAGGCAGAGCAGCGTTTGTGGTCATGACTTTTGGATCGAAAAGCGACAACAAACTGGAAGCAATCTTTCCAGCAAGAGGATGCTGAGGGGTCTTTACAGATTCGGAGTCAGAGTCAGAGTCTGACTCGTCGGGGCCCTCTGTAGGCTCGGGCGCTTGCTCGGTTTGCATAGAAATATCAACCATGCTGTCTTCGCCGTCGACAGAAGATGTTCTGATTCTGGAATCTGCTGATCGTGCATCATCCTCGTTTGTGACCACGGTGTCAGAGTCATCAGTTGCATGGTCGTCGTTGCTGTTTTCCTCGGCAGCCAGAATGTCACGTGTAGTCATGTTGTTGGCCTGGACCAGTAGCTTGCGGTAAATCGCCTCAAAGTCTTGAGCTTCTTCACTAGAAAGACGTATGAAGGATGGAAATCCGAAAAGCTCACGAGTTGCCTCCTTGTTCTTGCGCGGGACAAGTTTGCGGTGGAAGATAGGTACAATGACTGTGTCATCCTTGGAAGGAGAATCAGAAGAATCGGCAGATGCAGGGAGAGGACCGAGATCAAAGAACACAATGGTGTCATCTTGGGAAATGCGGAGACTGCCGAAAGTGTCGTCATCGTCGCAAAATGTTTGCCAGAAGGAATTGTGCAATGTCTCTGCCGCAAGGATTCGTTCCCCATCAATTCCCATCTTTTGGGCGACGAAGTCCTTCCAAGCCTTCAAAGTATCGTGTTCATCAAGTCGAACTTTCAAGGACACGGGCGGGCCGTCAAGAGGGTAAAAGATAATCGTCCGAGTAATCAGCTTTGGACCCGTTGGGATAGGCACAGTGACCATTGTGAAGGGATCCATGATGATGCTGGTCTTTTCGCAGTTGTGGCAAATCAGTGTTGACTTGTACATTCCAGCAAACAAATCGGTGATAATGGAGGCATTGCGAGCCTCGTAGAGGTCCCAACATTTCTTTCCGAAATCCACAAGAGCATTACGATCGTGGATCATCTCATCAGTGGAATCAGGAATGACAGTGGATGGCTTGCTGCCAACGATCCGGCTTAGATCTTCCGACAGTGCATCAAGGAGAAACATCACAAATTCCTGGCTGTCATGTTGCTCATAGCCAGCAAAATCTTCACGTTGCCGACCAGCGGCAGCACGAAACCTATAGGGATTGACAGATCGCGGCTGAGGGTCCGATTTGTACAGGTCTTGAAGTAGGTTGGCCCATTGCTTGGCAATGACACCGCCGCATCCAAGAACGTTGGTCGGGTTAAGTTCTGGTTTGTACATTCCACCTGCAGATTAAGATTAGCATCAAAAGATGTCGTTCGTAGTATCTGACACCAAGCTTGGTATACTCACTAAGGAAGTAATAAGACAACTCCTCAATGCTCCGCACACATTGCAACGCGGAGTTCATGTAACAGGTGTTCCCAAGGTTTTGCAATCCCACGATAACCTGTCGACCCTTCCGACCTCGAGAGATGAGGGCTTTAATTGGATCGGGTGCCTGGGATGGAGTAGTTCTCCCACTGGGCTGTGGTTGTGGGCTCTTCACTGCGGCTTTAGCGGCAGAAGCTTTGGTAGCAGCATCGTTCTTCGGCTGATCCACAGGGATACCCAAACTCTTGAGAGTTCTGGCAGAGGCTTCAGACACCCATTCTCCACCTTTAGAGCTGCCGATCTGCTCCTCGAGAACAACACAGTTCGCCACGCCAAGGCCGGCCATATCCAAGGTCATACGACCATTGTAGTTTGCATTTTGGGTTTGGTCCTTCACATTATCAAGCAAAACTCGGTGGCTTCCCTCTGGGAGTTCGAGGAAAGCATTCAAATCGAAAAGAAGTTTGTCGTTGGGGTTTGAGATCAGAGCCAGTGGAGGAACAGGCGATTGGCTGCGGGAGGCAGCAGGAGTCGCCGAGGCCGATGCGGTGGTGCTACGAGGAAGCTGGAGAATTTTCCAAACTCGGACTTTTGTCGACATATCGATACCAGTCTGTTCTTTGGCATCCTTCAACCATTTTTGGTAGTTCGTCTGGCGACTAGCGAGGATCTTCACCGATGGCTTGACAGTTTGTCGCAAGACGGTCGGGGTGGTACCCGAGGCGGGATTGGCTAATTTGAAGATCGTGAAAATCGGAGGATAAGTCTCATATTCGATGTTTTTAGTATCGCCGGGTTGGTTGGTGTTGTGAGCATAGCGAATGATCACAGGTGACTGGTCGGCGAGACCATACCACTTCTGTATCAGTTCCCAACCATGCTGTGGAATTATCGCGAAATCAAGAGCATCATGCAAACCAGGGCGCATTGGCACAAATGGTTCACCGGTTTCGTCTTTGAAGCTGGGAGTAGTTGGGTCGGTGTCGAGCATGATGTTTAAATTGTTGACGGGACCAACGTCACCCTCCAATGACCCTTTGTCAGTGTGATCCGCATGCGCCGTAGTGCGTGCAAGCACCTTTTTCAGCCAAGCCATTGAAACCACAAAGCCCTTTTGTCCGTCTTTCAACGGTTCCTTCATAAGCGCATTTACCTCATTCACCTGCTCGTCGATCGTGGGAATATCGCCTGATTTGGGCGATGCTGGTCTGGACAGCTCCCCGGCTGAGGATGCAGACCCGGTGTGGTCATTGCTTGAAGTTGTAGGATATGTGGGTTCATCGTTTGTGCCATCGAATGTGCGGGGGATAATGTATGTGCGCGCGTTACTGAAGCCAGTGCTCACGCCTCCTTCAGGGTCGGAGTCGGTAATCTCAGAGGCCGGGCGCTTCTCACCGGGAGAAGGGGATCGTCCATGGGTTGGAGGTGTACCCTCTCGAGTATCGGAGGGCATATCGGAATGGTCGCTGGAGAGACTAAGTCCGGCGGTCGCGGTCGCGGGGGTGAGCGAGCGGCCAGGCGGGCTTCCAGACTGAAACTGCAGATGCGCAGGCACGTAGCGAGGCGGGGACAACGACGAACTCTGGCCGCGGGAAGAAGAGGAAGATGTGTGGCGAGAGTGTGGAGGTTCGGAGCGGCCGTGACGTCGAGCCCGAAGGCCTGGACTGGTGCGAGGCTCTGGGGAAACTTTTCGTCGCTTTGGTGAAGACGTCGTGGCGAGGAGCTGCGCACCTCGTGTCGCAGCTCGGGGCAACCAGGGGAAAATAGAAGACGGGATCAAAGCAGCACCCTTACTTCCTTTTGGTGGAAGTACAAGGGGATTTGGTTGTGAAGTGAATTCAACTGGCAGAAAATCCGAAGGTAATTTTTTTTTTCCGGAGCGGAAACGAAACCCAGGGCTATCCACAGATGACCAGCGTCTGTAGATGAAGTTAAGACAATTCGTGAACAACAAGAGAAAAAAAAAAGAGTACAAGTAGCAGAAGGTAGAAAGAGAAGATACGAAAAGAAAATTTATGGGAAGAAGAGAAGAAAGATTGGAAAGTTAGAGCTGTGAAGGTCTTATACTTGAAGGTGGTCTATTCAGAATAGTTCGCACAATGGAGAAGACTCGTGAATGGGACTGATTGTTTAATAGTTATTGTGTTCTTCACATGCACATTAATTGATTTGTGTGTGGGATGATTGTATTCCTATTGTTCCATTGCGATCCTATTGCGGTACTATTGATTGTGAATAAATTAGGGCACAATGCCCTCATTATCACGACTCATCAAACAGATTTGACAATGCAAACAATTATAGGCTTGATACCTAGGCACCACATTCTTTTAGAAACATAATTGAAAATTAAGCTCATTTCATATTTTCTCAACTGAACTTAGCTACTGTTGGTAAAGAGGGCCAGCCTCGGTGAGATAGGTACAGTAAACAAGAAAGACAATTTGCAAATCAACCCTGCATGTAAAGCCTGTAGAATGTGTTGTGCTCCGCCCCCGAGAGGATGAACTCCATGTCGGCTCGGTAGTGTACATGCTGAGACGGGTCATTGCGACCCCATGCAACAACAGCATTAAGGTCACCCTTGAATCGCTTGGCGAGGTTGAGACAGTACTCACAGAGCATCAGCCCGCATCCATGCGTTTCTGCATCACAGTCCACCACAGCCGCGTGAACATCGATTGGCTGAACTTCCTGGCAAGACCCGATTGCGGGTTCTCGACACAGGCTGCACCATTGGTAAATGGGACTTGGGTAATAAGGACCAGCCTGCCCAGTCTCGGTATCAATGAGTCCTTCACTTGCATCATTTAGAAGTGATAAAGTATTAGCCTTTTCTACTTCATCTCGCGGGACCAAAGACGTAGGTAGTAGGCCGAAAGAGTTGTGGGAGCATTGGATTATCTTGGATCGAGCCCATGTACAGTCGACACACATCCGGCTCTGTGATTTTCCTTCGGCAATATGGCCATCCTGAAGCTCAACAATTGTACCGTCGTCAAGCGTCAAAACCTCTGGATTTCGTGGACCGAGACCAGTGATACCATAAGCAAAGTTGTTACACCAGTCGCAAGGGAACAATCCATCCCGGTTATCTGCGAGAAATATCACAGGATGAGCAAGCTCAGTCCAGATTCGACGAGTGTTCGCAGACTGTGAGGCGATGATATTTGAGACAGTGTCGGGAGGGGGTGAGTCAAAGAGGTCGTCAAAGGGCTCGGAAATATCACTTGGCGAGTTCTGCTTCCCCGGGGTGTCGTCATCTGAATCTGTGATTTCAATTACCTCGTGTGGCTTCGGTCCATCAACGACGGAGGACTGTGCGTTGCTACGTGGTGAGTTGGAACCTGCTAGAGTATCGATCTTCGGGGAATTCCTTTTTCCCTTAGGGTTGGATGCCTCAGGGCCTTCGATCTCTGGGGATCCATGGGGTGAGTTAGAGATTGTGGGGGAATTGGCCTTCATGGGTCTGGGTTCTTCAATCGGCTTCAATGCCTCATAGCCATCGGCCTCCGGGTAACCATGTGGTGAGCTGGGCCTTGCTGGGGAATTGCTGTTTGGAGAATTCATTTGTTCCCTAGCCTTGGATTCCTCAAGGGAGTCGAGCCCCGAGGACTCATAGGGCGAGTTGGACGTTGCAGGAGAGTCAATATTAGGAGAACTGCCTGGCTCGCTTGGTTCACTCAAGGAAAATAGTGCAAAGGGTGGGTGTCTAGCTGGTCCAGCAACACATTCGAACCCATGATTTCGGCATGGGAGACAAGGCTGGGAATGGTCATAATCAGAGTAGCGATATGAGCAAACCTCTTTCTTCCGGCCTTTGCAACTCTCGCACGATCGCTTCCATTTGGGTGGGGGGCTCACAACGCAAAAGACATCATCCACTTCACATGTTGTGCATGGATAGGCAAACGGATTAGGGTCAGATGCAAGTGAACATTCTAGACCGAGTTCCTGGCAGGCAGCGCACTCTCTCACCAGAATTTCGTTATCAGCAGTCGGCTTTGATGACGAGGTCGCGACATTGGTTGCATCTTCCTTTTGTGGCGACCCTGGCACCGATTCCTTATTGCGGCGTCGAAGGCTGTAACGTGAGTTTGGTGTCCCGATCTCGGGATTTGTGGCCCAGTATCTGTCGCTGCTGTCGGGCTCACTGTGCTGGGAGGGCGTGGAAGGCTCTCCCATCTCTGGGCTCAATCGAGAACGGAGCGTCGAAGTCGGAGATAGGCTCCTGGCCTTTTTCTCGGACCGAGGGGATGGCTCGTCCTCATGGAAAAGAGATAGTTTGCGCTTGGTCGGCGTTCGCTTGGTCGAAGGTTGGTAGTCTTCATCTTGATCATTGTCATGCCACGACGCAACAACAGCGGCACGCTTGGATGCACGCTCTCGCAAGTGGTATGGCCCAGTCAGGTGCGGCCGTACATAGAAGCTTCTCGTGCTACGGTTAAACAACTCCTGAGCTCGCGCGTGTCTCTCAGCAGAGTATGCCATTGTGAATGGCCGAATCGCCGCGAGCTGTGAGCTGTGAAGAAACTGCGGCCACGTTTGATTAACAATTGTGATGGTTATAAGAGTCTCAAGCAATTAACTCACGGCTTTCTCAGGTCAAATCGACTGAGGATAGATGGTCAAAGACGAAGCGGCGGTGCAGCAACCTGAATTGCTGATATCAAACCGTTAATCGCTGATGTACAAGCAAAAGTAAATTAGAAGTGAAGGTGAGATGAGATGATACCAATTTAAATACTGAGCAGTTCACAGACAGCAGGATCCAAATAAGTCAATGGAGGTTGTAGATACTATTGTCCAAATCTCAATAGGAACAATTGAATAGAATAGAATTGTATTCATATCGTAGTAGGTGACAATACCTTTGGAACACACAATGTAGACTATAATCAATAGCAACTCCCATCCATTCATATCAATACACCACAAAACTCAGACCATCTCACCCTGTATTCATTATATTAATTGGTTAGAGTGGTCCCAATCCCCTTTTGTAATGCCTCCTGGTATTTCTAGGGTACCACCTCCATTATTGTGGGTGCATCAGAGTAAACCTAGGTAAAATGTTGAAGATGAGTTTGAGAGCACATTGACATGCGCGACGAGTGTTTCTCTTGTGGATAACTAAATATCTTGATAGTAGAGCTTCTCTCCTCGCATGTGATTCTGGAGGGCAAGGTCAATACAGATCGATACTTGAAGCTGGTGGCAACCTCTCTCTAGTCAACTTGTCCAACAGAGCATCCAATGAGCCATTCGGATTTTTTATCACTCCCATAGAGCAGGGGAGGTCACACCGTTCGTGAGCGTAGGGACGCAAGCCTTGGTCAAAATTGTAGATCCTACAGGATCCCCGGAGATATCAACGGCAGCGGTCATAAGGGTGGCCGGCCTGGGAGTAGACAGAAAGATCTCAGAAAATCGCCTGGGGCATTATCGAACCGCCCTGGTATATGGAGGTGTATGATATTACCTTTGATTTCTCCGTTTTTGCTCAAAGTATCAACGTTATGAACTGTGTTCTGTTCTACTAGACAAAGGCTAGATTAGATCGAATATCGGTTCGAGCGTCCGCTATGGTGATTATAGTTGTTATAAGTTGGAGGCATGGAGCGCATGGGTTCCGTTTTCCCTTTTATGTCGAGATAAAGAAAGTTAAATAAGTCGGAAATAGGGTAAAAGAGGGTATGGAGATATATTCACCAATTCAAAAAATGCAGAATTTGCGTGTGATCAATGTTAAAGCTCGACTCTGAAGATGAAATAGAGTCTAGAAGACATCAAGTATTGTCCGGAATTTAGTAGGGTGGGAGAACATTAGTACCTATATTGTAGGATCAAACACGCAAACAGAAAAGCTCGCAGGTAGTCTATCAATTTGGATAGAAATCTCCTCACCTTGGAAGTTAGGTAGAAGCCATCGAAGTTAAAAGCTTCCAAGGTTAACACGTTAATCTCAAACAGTCTTAGCGTCTCGGGACCGTCCCGTTCCTCCCGCAGCCTGAAGGTTGATTTTTCAGGAAAATCAAGATAAACCTCCTTGACTTGAAATGGAGTACTGGGTAATCATGAAGTACATATGTTTCCATTCATTTTCATTGATAGTGCTATAGAAACAGAGGCACATGTGAGGAACATGAAACCAAATAGATAACAGAAGGGAACAAGCAGTAAAAGCAAAATCCAGTAGCGCCTATAATGTAGTCAGTGGCAATATACGAGTCCAAACCATCGTGTTTGAGTCCAGCCACTTTTCCTCAATGCGCCAGGGGTATCCATTCATCCACCAGGGATGCAATAATAAAAACAGAGAAGATGACAGCGCCACAGTTGTACGCCCCATCCTATGATAACAGAAAAGATCTAACCAAAAAGGGTACTTTTCATAGACAAGTGAGAAGAAGATTGGCCATTACGCTCGGAAATCGTACATGCGGACTTGGTAGTCATCACCGCCAGTGATGAAGCGGCTGTCGCTCAGGCCGATGCAGTTGACAGCTGCGCTGTGGCCTTCATAGGTATCCTGGCCGGTAGGAACACGGGGATCCCAGATCTTGACCATGCGATCCATGCCACCAGACGCAATCCGCAAGGTATCAGCAGAAAGAGCCCAAATACCTTCGAGATGTCCGAAGAAGGTCCGGAGACATCTCCCGGTGCTAGTTTCCCACAATCGGATTGTTGTGTCCACACCACTAGTAATGATATATCGCGGGGGTTCCACGCGGCCTTGATCCTGGTCAAAGGAGGAGCCGAATGGTGAGTTCTGGAGAGACAAGGATTTGGCCTCGAGAAGAGGGGAAAGTGCGCTGAGGATGTTGTCGCCATTTTGCGAAGATGTGCTGACGTGGTCGTTCTCGCAGTCTGCGAGGTGATTCTCTAGTTCAATTTCTCGGGGCAAAGCAACAACTTGCTGAACGGCTCCAATGTGGTTATGGAAGACTCGGATGCAAGTCTTGGTGTCTAGGTCCCAAAGGCGTGCGGCACCATCATCGCAGGCGGTCAAAACTGTGCGTGAAAGGGAGTCGATTTTCACAGCATTGACTCCCTGTGGGTGGGGAAGAACAAAAGTAGACTTGTCCTTGAAGTTCCAAATTTTGACAGTGCGATCAACGGAGGCGGATGCAAGAAGCGTGCAATCAAAGTGAAGGGCGATGACCGCTTCGGCGTGGCCATTGTACTTGGAGATGCATTCGCCTGTGCGCCAGTTCCAGATTCTGATGCTGCGATCCAGACTTCCTGTGATCAGTTTGGTGTCATCGAATTGGAGGCACCGCACTCCAGCCATGTGGCCTTTGAGAGTCCTCAATTCTTCGCCGGTATCTGTATCCCAGATCTTGACGGTAGCATCGTAGGACCCAGTCATCAAGATATTATCCTCGAACTGTAGACACATAACACTGTCTCGGTGGCCCTTGAAGACCTTGACTGTGCAGCGCTTGTGCTTCCAATTCATACCAACAACAAATCGATCCCGATAAACCTCCTTCCATGGACGGTAACGAGTTTTGAAGTAGTTCTCGTCCTCTTCGGGAGGCTGTGGAGGCGATGCACAATGGCGCTTTGCAAGGCCGGAGACATCTTCACTGGATTCCATCTTACGTTTGCCATTGGCTGGGAGTTCGACTGTCGAGCAAGGTTCAACCAATGCGGTATCACTAGACCCAACGGCAGGCTCGTCGTTGCCCCAGTTGCTGGCACGCAGTTCAATCTCACGCTTGGCTTCGCGCAGACGCTTGCGATCCAGAAGAGGAAGACCCCAGCCACATTTGTTACACTTTCGACGGATATGCTGCTCACACATCCGGTGCCACACCACATCATCGTCGGCAAGGGCTCTCCAGCGGTGAGAAACTTGCGCCGCTCGGCACAAGGAGGCCGTGTCGAGGTAGCGGAGAATTTTGAAGGACAGCTCGGGAGGGAGAGCAGCGAGGAAATCAATTCGGATCAGTTCGCGGACACTGGCGGAGATATAGGATAGCTGGGGGAAGCAGCACTGAGCCAGGATTCCTTGGAGCATGAGAGTGCGTTGCTTCGCTGGAGCAGCGGAGAACAGCGACCACACATGGGAAATACCCTGTTGATCACTTTGAGGAAGTAAATTCAGATCGGATTGCAGCTGGGTCATCGACTGTTCATCGGCTTGGCGTCTGCTACATTTTGAGTCCGGCTGGTGACGATAGCAGTAGCTGGCATTCACCAGGTGTTGCTGTGATGGCGTTGAAATTTGCGAACGCAAAGGCGCATATTGTCGTGGCTGATATTTTGCGAGGAACGGAGCCACATTTTGCCTCGCGAGTTCCTCCAGGGTTTGTGTGGAGTTGTCTGTCTCTTTGCGCGGCAGAGAGCGGTTGGAGTCGGCGTTCGCATTGACCCCCGAATTTGCGACGACCAGGCTCTTTTGTGCGGATGAGGGGTCCTGTGCATCGGCCATGGTGAATGATTCGGGTTCCTGCGATGTGAGGGGGGTGGAACGACCGCTCGGGCGAGAGACGGTCGCGTCTGATGTGGCACCGAGATAAGAACCGGTCGCTTTGTAGGTCTCTTTGTTCTCCTGAGTTGAATTGTTCAGAACGAGGACGGATGGACTATAGATCAATATCGCGATGCCTTCAAGGGGCTTGAAAGTTTTCTCCAGCAATCAGACAGTAGTCAAGAGGGAGTGGGGGGGGGTCAAAGGATTATCGATTCGGACGATATGAGGACCCTGAGGAAGATTAAGATAAGAGGGTTACCGAGTTTGACTGAAATGAAATTGGATGATAAAGAGAAAGTAAAAATGGGGTCAAGCGAGAGTTTTAAAGAGAATAATTCTGAGTCAAGGAAAAATTGCACAATTTGAATTGTGTCTTCGATATCGCCATCGATGGAGTCCGGGGATTGCGTGACAGCGGTAGAGCGGCAAATACGTGATTTGGGCGGTGAACCTGCACGTGATATCCCCATTGCGCCATCTCCGCGCCGTCGCACATCAATCGACCCTTCCTACGCTTCCGACAGGCTGATTTGCTGTCTTTGGGTTTAACTGGGGTGAAACGGAGCATTTTATATTCTATATGATTGACGCTAGTCCGGTAGCTATCTCACACCGATACCCTTGTGAGACCCACTGCCCCTAGCTTTGTTGGTTACTACCATTCGCCCTGCTGTGGTCTATTTAAACCTTCTGTGAGCGGCTTGCCGTGTCTGCAATTTAAGGACCTGAACCTGGTCTCGACCGAGGCATCTGGAACTAAATAAATACTGGTAAGAGTCTGTTTCTTTGTTACTTTAATTTGCAAGTCATTTCTGGGCTGGAGCTCGTGCTCACTCTTTGCCGTGTGGAGCACAGCCCCAGCTCATTGCCCAGGTGTACTGAGTGCATGACACACAGCTCTGAGCTTGATTCACGAACCATTTCCATTATCTGGCTTTGTCCAAGTTTATGACAAGTCTGGTTTGTCAGATAAAGGCCTATACTGAAGTGTCCTAGGGTTTCGGTG